TAATTAAACACATAAGTTTTTGACCAATCAGATACTGGTAAACTTTGTCCTTGAAAATCCCACTACATAATGTGAGGTGTAAGAAGGGATGACTAATTGTAAGTTAGAAAGGAGACAGAAGTTGGCATGACTTAATAAGAGTGAGATAATGACTAATCAATAAGCTCGTGTAGAATGGACAGGAACTAGTGGAAAGGCTATAAAGTAGTTTTGTATAAGATCTGTGTGAAAAAGGAATGTTATTAATAAAAAGTAATAGAGTGGTAATAAAATGTGGATGGTGGGATTAGTAATAATAATAATAATAATAATAATAATAAATAATAGTGAACTTACATATTAAAAGAGAGGAGAAAAATTATAGTAAGAAATTTACTCTGGCCATGGTAGGGCCAGAGAATGTATGTATCGTTTTTGTATGCATAGGTCCGGTTTTAGGTCACGAATAGCTAATGCCTCAGCTATGTACAGATGTCGTATCCATAGTCCTTTTGTACGATATTGAGGGACTCTGTGTACCACTGTGAAGCATTCGTGTGGGGGTGCTCGATTTCCGGAGATAACAAGGTGTTCGAGGATTGAGCTGTTGCTATTCTTTTTTTCTCCTCTGGCTAACCAAGCTGGGCAGTGTTCCAGGATACGTTTGTGGACTTGACGTTGCGTACGGCCGATATACTTTGCTCCACACGAGCAAGTGAATTGATAAATACACATTGAAGTGGCCAAAGGCAGTATCTTGTCCTTAACGTTAGACTGGATTAACTGTCTGGAGGAGAATGTTATACGTAGAGTGGCTGTTGGGAATGTCTTCTTCAGACTTTTTGAAAGGCGGTTTCTGAGAATTTCCGCTGCGATGTCACCTTTGAATTCTAGGTTCATGAAGAGAGTCTTCTTAGGAACCGTTGTGATATTTGGCACCGGGGGCTTCTCCTTCATGTTTTTGTCGATGAATCTTGGCGGATACCCATTCTCTAGTAGGGTTTCACGCAATAAATTTAATTCTTTCTCCACCGTGTCTTCCGAGCAGATTTTTCTAATCCTTGAGCACAATGTACGTACCAAGTTTCTCTTTCGGGTCAGTGGAACAAAGCTCTGGAAGTTGATAAACTGTCCAGTCCATGTTGGCTTACGGTATATCGATCTTTGGATCGTACAGTCGTCTCTTCTGGTGAGTAATACATCGAGGAATGGAAATGCGTTGTTCGATTCGCGTTCTAAGGTGAATCTTATTGATGGATGCGCTGCGTTGAAGGTTTTCAGGAGAGAATCTAAATCACATTTTTCATCGCAGATTATAAACGTATCATCTACATATCTCTTGTATAAGTGCAGTTTACTTATCAAGGGATCAAGGATGTTGTTTTCAAGACTCGCCATGAAACATTATGTAGTAGAATTTTCAAGGACAAAGTTTACCAGTATCTGATTGGTCTAAAAATTTCTGTGTTTAATTATAATTACGATTGTACAGCTCATGAAAATGAATCGTTGAAAAGAAAATTTTCTTCGCTATTTACGCCTTTTCTCATGACTCAATATGGGAATATTTCGTTTATTTATTTTATTTTATTCAATTTGCCTTACTAATCCTAGAATTGCACACCCCCATTCCAAGTTCTATCCATCCATGAATTTAATTATATATCACGAAATATGCCCATTAATTCCTAAGGAAAAACACAGTTTTGTTTTGTTCAGCGAAGAAATATGGTTTCTTTTCAACGACATCATTTTCAAGCCAACTGTACAGTCGTATTTTGTATTACGGAAAGAAAAGGCATTAAGTTTATCTAAATGTATTAAACGGTGTGTTTCATGCAGCTGACTTGCATTTAGTATTTACCCCAGCTGAAATATGATTCTACAATGCTTCAGGGATGAACCTACTGCTGCTTATATGCGTCCACTTCTACTCTATGTGCATGTTACTCATTCATATGCTCTGCTCCGTGTGGAGTTGCTGATTACATTCGACATTGTAAGCGTAATCTCCGTAAACGCGTAGCCATGAACACTACTACCCGGTTCATGGTTAATGAAAGGTGAGAAACAGAAGACAACGTCTTCAATCTTTGAACATCTCTAGGAATCAGCTCATTCAAAGCTTCACACGTGATTTATCCTACAGGACCAAATCGAATCACTCCAAAAGCTTACATTTTCTCCACTTATACATAACGGGCCAAAACTCTAGCTATATACATGAACAGAAACCTTAATTATGTATTCAAAGACATTTTGTCAAAACGCCTTTCGTTACATTGGTCATAATAATGTTCTTTTATTTTATTCTATTTTACTACTTGACTTCATTCCACTTCAGTTCACCTTCACTGTCTTATCCTTAATTTTTCAGACAACACCTGACCTACAAAATTTTTAAAATCTCTATACCAGTTCACTTACTTAATAATCTTTAAAAGTTTTTGTAATTCATCCACTTCAACTCTAACTTCCCTCCCCTACTTAGTACATAATTTCAATTATCTTTATTCTTATCATATGTGAAATATTGACCACTAAGCAATTTCTAGTGCAACTTATTAATGCCTTCTTTCCTCCGTAATATAAATACGACTGTACAGTTGGCCTGAAAATGAAGTCGCTGAAAAGGAACATTATTCTTCGCTGAACAAAACAAAAATGTGTTTTTCCTTATGATTCAATAATGTTTTGGTTTAGAGGGATTTGATTGGCTACAGGTTAGATCACGAGTTGAAATCAGCTGGTGAAACTTTCGGAAAACGAGCGAGGAGTATTGGATAGCTGTTTCACCCTACTGTGGGGCTCTTCACTAGTGCACACCCATTGAGGTTCGAGTCTAGGAAATTCTGGTTACAAGACGAGCTCGTAGACCACTCAGCTACTCTAATGAGAAGATATAGTCCGCGAGGTCCATCAAGTCAGGTAAGAGATCAATTACTCACTCTGCACATCCAATCATCACTCTACCACCGTAGAACTCCTTGTGTTCGATGATATCATTGTGTGAGTGATTCAAAGGTCTAAGGCAGGATGTCTGTCTGTCTGGATTCAACATAGAACTTGGCACCGAAGTGCAGCAGTTCGAGTTGCCACGTTCCAAATAGCACACAGAGGTAGACAAGAAGATGAGTGGAGAGAATTAATAGAGTTTGACAAATATAGGAGTGAAACAGAATGGGTAATGGTAGAAAGGAATATGAAAGATTACAGAGATTGAATACATCTGCGCCATTGACAACGATTTTGAGCCATGTCACCTATTGTCTCCAGCCATTGATTCCTAGAGTCCCGAGGGCCCCAACCCGGGAGTCTGCATCTCCCTACCTGACTCAGTTTAACTGTCAAGGATTTCATGGATTGATGAGGCCATGTTTTTGTTTGGCCACCACTGGCTCTTTTCCAACCTGAACCTATATCAGCTAACAATGCTCGTCGGGGGAGGCGGTGGTTAGGCATGCGCACCACGTGACCTAGCCATCTTAGTCTATGTAACTTTATAACCTCGTCGATTGATTTTCCCTCTTTGCCCAACACTCTACGCCTAACGTCAACATTACTTATCTTGTGAAACCACCTAACGTGAGACAGAGATCGCAGACATCTATGATCGAAAGCAGTCAACCTTTTCATGTCTTCAACGCGTATTGGCCATGTTTCAGAGCCATAGAGAAGGACGGAGCGAACTGATGAGCAGTACACACGTCCCTTGGTTGATAACCGGATGTCACGCAGGATGTATTTAGACACAGTGGAGGAGGTCACAATTCATTGAATATAATCACTTAGAAACATAGTGAAAACAGAGGTGATGAAGGTTTCTGGGTAACACCAAAAGCAACAACAACAGACAAAAATCAGCCAGAATAAGTGGGAGAAATCTCAAAGAAACAACCTCCTTTACCTACCTACTCGGGAAGCATCGTTTCAACTAAAGGCGGACGGAACTGATCAGGATATCAAAGAAACGAAGATGTGGAAAGCAGGATAAGCTTTCATTACTCTCAAGTTTGTGTGGAGGTCAACAGTACTCAGCAGGAAAAATATGATACGAATATGAAGTCAGTCAGTGCTATTATACGGATCAGAGACTTCGCGAGCACATCATGAAGGGCACTTCGAACATACTACAGACTTTCATCAACAGCTATCTTCGCTCCATACTCAAAATCAGATGGCTGGCCAGAGAAAAATAAGCAATAGTGAGGGATCTCTGGGAGCGAACCAACTCAGCAGGAACCAATTGTGCAACAAATAAGCAGGAAGGAAAGGAAGTGGATTGGCCATACTCTGAGGACATCACAAGACAGGCCCTCTAGTGGAACCTTAATAAGAAGCGGCGAGTTGATGATCAGTGCGACGGTGATTTGGAAAAGGTCATGTGAAGAGGAGATGAAAGCATGTGGGCAGACGTGGAGCCAGGCGATGAAAACGTTGGCAGAGAACCGAACGCAATGAAGACGTGCAGCTCAAACCCTAGGTTCCTCTAGGAACTAAACGAAACAATAATAATAATAATAATAATAATAATAATAATAATAATAGTAATAATCATGCTTAGAAACACCGTTTTCGGTGACTTGGAACATGTGTTATGACAAATGTCATCCTAGAGGCTTCAAAACCTGTCGCTATTCCCCAGCCATGCATAGAAAAAGTGGAGACGAAGGATATGTGTGCTAGGTTAGCACTCTTTGGCACATACCGACTCGCTGGTTGGGGCCCGAAAGATAATTTGTATCCTAAATAGTAAATCCAGTTACTTTCCGTTTTTACATCAACTATATATAACCAAGAAGTGACTAGGAAGGTACATTGATTCCCCATGAAATAGTGACTTTATCACAGTTATATGATAATTCAGCTAGGTAACTACTAGACAGATAAACAAGTAAGCAAGCTGAAAACGAGACACAACAACAAAAACAACCACAACAACAATAACAACAATAATAACACAATAACAATAAACAAAAAATTGTTAAAGTTAAATAATATACCCGCGCCTAACTACCTACCTAGTACAGCGATTAATATTGTCGGTTCACGTGATTTAATTTGTTGTAAAAATGGCAGAATATCATCCATAACAATCCATTTGTCTAAATGATCTAATAACTTGCCAATGCACACGATACAATGCATACGTGTCTATATATGTATATATAAGAGAAGACATGAAATGACAGCATATGAGACACAACATAAAAGACATTTTCATCATTATGAAAAAAAGTTTTTGTATTTCACAATGAAGGAAAAAAAAACAAAACGATATTATTGCTTTTACTGACGTTTCGCTATTTAATGCTAATAGCTTTATCAAAGTAGTAATTATTAAACCGGAATTTACAAAATCTCAGCAGAATTAAACTTCGGTGAACTACCATTTCTAGACTGCCTTAACATAGTTAAGAGAGAGGAGAACGAACATTTTAGAATATTCTTATTCAGGAAGAAAACCCACTCCAACAACAAATATTTAGACTTCAAATCATCACACCCTATCAGCGCAAAGATTTCAGTTGTTTCAAGTCTTATTAGATGAGCAAACGGATGAGCAAGAAAAAGAAGAGGAAATATGAAACATTACTGAAACTCTCAAGCAAAACATCTAACCAAAAAACTTCAACAAACAAAATCAAGTATGGCCGAAAACGCATTCCGAAAACATGGACCTCAACAGTTGTCATTCCATATAGAGCAGAGACAACAGACGATATCAGGAGAGTACACAATAAGCTCGACATTAGAGTTTTCTTCAAAACATCATACACACTCTACAAAGTAACCTTGCCCATATAAAAGATCAAATCCCTAAAGATTCTCTATCGAATTGTGTCTATAAAATAAAATGCTTGCTTGGAATGTGATGCGATATACATCGGACAAACATCTCGCGAAATCAAAATAAGAAGAAATGAACACCGCAGAGTCGCCTCTATTCAACCACCGAGAAATTCGGTTGAACTAGAAAAACTTGAAAAATCATCAGGCATAGCTTGTCTGCACGCTATTTTCTCACCCCTTAACTCTGTTATATATATGCTGACATTTTATAAATTCTGGTTTAATAATACTTTGATATCAGCTATTAGCATTAAATAGCGAAACGTCAGTAAACACAACAATATCGTTTTGTTTTTCATTCATTGGGAAATACAAAAACTTTTATCATAATGAATATCATATACCCAATGCCCAAAGTTTTTCAAACTGTTAAAAGTGAACTTGGTTTGGACACACATAAATTATTTTCATCAATATATATATATATATATATATATATATATATATATAATGTAAGGATTGGAGTACATTGACTCCTAGCTTAGAGATAGGGAGTGAAGTGGTTAGTGGAGCGCGTTGACCACTTCACTTATTTGAGAAGTTGCATCAGCCAGCCCAACAGGTGAATCGCTGACGAAATCTCAGCACAAATACAGAAGGCTCGTTTCGAATATGCCAATTTACGCCTTCTTTGGCGTAGACGTGGTATCCGGCTGACTGGCTGTCGACCAATGGTCGGGTGTAGTGCTCAGCAGTCCAGCTGTGAGACATGGCCATTGAGAGTAGGAGATATGAAAAGGATGGTTAGCTGTCTTTGATTATAGGTGTCTGCATTCTATCTCCCGTGTTAAGGAGTAGGTGTAATAGGGTAGGCAATATTGAGGTTGAGCATCGGTTGGGTGCTAGGTAGGTGGAAGGGGAAATCAATCGACGAGGCTGTGAAGCTACATTCACTCCGTATGACTTATAATTTCACATAAAACTATATCGTTCCTCGTTATTACTATTCCTTTTGTTTCATATCTCTGTTTACTGTCTTTATTTTGCGTTTTTTTAAACTTTCTTATATAAATTATATTTATAAAAATCTCAATTATTTTGTAACTATCCGGTCAAATCTTGATCACAGCTCATATGAGAATAGCAAATGTTTTATGGCTGTTCTACCCACACACACACCATTGTATTTTTTTTTGATTTACAGCTTGATTCCACACTGTATTTTTGGTACAAGTATGGAATTTTCAGCATGGATATCGATAGCCCAAATTTTGCAGGCCGACCACAGATATCAGGTGTGCGTCGGTGCGGGCTCGAACACCGGACCATGTGCATGGTCGGCGAGAGTCCTAACCACTGTGCCACCGACGCACGTATCCTGCATATACACATATATTTTAACAAAAGTAGATAAATTTTGAAAGTCTGAGGTCATAAAGTTTTTGATCATAGTTCATACAATTTTTGTTTTGTTTTGTTTAGTATACCTATTGATTCATATTTAAAAAATAAGAGATGTACTTTTATATAAACATACAATTCTATTTATTTATTTATGATACATGTTGATACCTGTTGCATGATTCATGATTGGACAAGAATTTTAAAAACAAGATGTGTCCCTTTATATATAAATCTTTGTTATGTTAAAAAATTATATTTGTAAAATCTCAGCGATATTGAAATGATTAATTCCAACGTTTCGTTCGGCAGTCTGGTCCGAACTTCTTCAGGGAAATTAATCGAAATTAACATAACAGGTTTATGTATAAAAGGAACATCTTTCGTTTTTAAAAACTTAGTCCAATCATGATTCATAAAACAAATATTAACAAGTATAATAAACAAAATTGTACGAGTTGTGATCAAAATTTGACCTCAGTCTTACAAATATTGATCTACCTTTGTTAAACACTTTAAACACAGTGTGTATGTGTGTGTGTGCGAATAAACAGTTGTAAAACAATTTCTTAACGTCTCCATAAGTAGATATAGACAGTCGGGAATGTTAATTTCGATTAATTTCCCTGAAGAAGTTCGGACCAGACTGCCGAACGAAACGTTGGAATTAATCATTTCAATTTCGCTGAGATTTTACAAATATAATTTTTTATAAATGTCTACTTCTCACTCAGCGTTCAATTATTTTGCAACTATCCGGTCAAATCTTGATCATAGTTCGTATGAATTTCTTCTCTTGCTTTGTGTGCTAAATGGAGTGGAGTGTGGCGACTTGAACTGCTGCACACCTTTGCAAAGTTCTATGTTGACAACAGACAGACAGACAGACAGACAGACAACCAGCTACACGACAGCCCACAAGCTTTCGTTCCTTCTTCATTCCACAAGTTAGCAGAAGAAGCAGCAGCAGCAGCAAAGGCAGGACTTCAAGTGAACATAGAGAAAATGGACAGGACAGCGGAACGGATTAAGATGTCAAAGTCAGAATCCGAAAGGCAAGATACGCCTTTATCAGCCAGAAATCTTCGATTCCACCTCAGAATAAATAAAGGAACAAGATTCGGATTTTCAACACCAATATCAAGTCGGTCAGTGTTCCCTCTATACGCGTCAGAAACTTGCACTGCGAGTCACATGGAAAGGATTTCCGACAGGATAATGTAGACTTTCATCAACAGTTGACAAATTCGCTGGCTGGTTCCATACTGAAGATCAAATGGCCAACCGACTGGCCAGAAAGAATTAACACCAAGAAATTCTGGCTGGGAACAAGCCAACAAGCAACAGCCGATTGCTCAAGAAATATGTAGGAGGTAACTGTAGGAGGACAAACTGATTGGGCATACATTGAGGAGACCGTCGAATGACATCGCGCTCAATGCAGGTCGTTGCTCGAGTGTCACACAAATGGGAAGCGACGAGTGGGTCGTCGATGCGAAGATGACATGGAGGAGATAATGCGATGTGGCGATGAGAGATTGCAGGCAACCGTGGTCCTAGCTAGAAGATGGACGCCAGAAGATAGGACAAAGTGGAGATGTATTGTTGAAGCGCTATGTTCAACAGTTTTTGCTTTATTCAAATTTATTATTAAGGGGAATACTGATATGTATCCACATATATATATGTATGTGTGTGTGTATGTTGGTCTCTCTTTCTGTTTGCTCGCTTAGTCTGTGACCATTTCACTTGTGTGAACTTGTCTCCTTTAATAATGTATATTCTCCTTATATTATATTATATATAATATGAGTGTTTGTTGACATGTCTGCTATATTCGCTATGTATATTTGGATCGACACTCCATTATAATTAGCCATTCATGTTAAGACTGTCTAATGATTTTTTCCCACGCTTTGTCTGGAACATTCATATATATTTCGCATTCACAATCTTGTGACTTTACTTTACAACTACTTTATTTACTTATCACTTTGGTGTGAGACCATTTTATTTTCGTCTCCTTGTGTTTGGACAATAGAAGTATCATCGCAAACCTAGTGGTCTTCTGATTTCCGCCTTCTTGCGTCAGGACTATTAGTTTCTCGACCAGTCCATAACAATAATTTAGCGACGAGTACATAACAAATACAAATGTATGAAACTGTTGTTTAACAATGATCGGTTTACCAACCACTCATATCAACCAATTAGTAGTATATAACAGGTGTACAAATCAAATTGCTGAATCATATTACTATTCTTATCATCATTACAAAGTACATTAACAATTTTACATATAAGTAAACAGTAACATTGTATAGATTTGATCTACAAGTCAGCATATATATGAAGATTAAACGAAATATACATTAAAAAATTGATCGAATGAAGCATTTTATTGTTATTATAATATGAATCGGACTAATACACGTCTGGTATTCAAGTAGACATGCACTTACTCACTGACATACACACATATATACACACACACGCAGAGAGATAAAGAAGTCAATACGCTTGTGTTAATTAAGGTACCGTTTAAACTTACCGACAAATATTCTGTTGACAAGCATAACCTTTGTATTCTAGGTAGAAGTGAATTTTTCAATACGCTTATATCCATTGCTTTACCTATACCTGGTAACGATTTAAGACAGAGTTCCTACGGGTGGGAGAGAAAAGAGTGAAAAAACAGCACAAAAAACAATAAACATATTTGGAGTACTTATGTGATGAGAGCTGTCTGTTAGGCAAAACTGGTAGACAGCAATTTACGTCAAGGTTTACGTCCCGAAACGGGGTCATGAAAAAAAGGCAAGAACAAAGCCCAACCTTGAGGAACTCAACAACCAATCACAGCAGACTTTGAGTGAGCGGATACACATCGTAGATACATGGCCTGACTTTCTGAGAAATGACCACAAGCAGTACAGAGTAGCCCTCAGCAAGAAAACAATTAATTAGAAGACGTTGCTTCTTTGTTAACAATAACGCCTAATAATAATGAACATAGAAATATATTTTGATGTGGTTGTGTTCTATGAGCTAGCTGGATAGTTAATTTGCGAAGCTGTCATCGCCCCACTCTACTAGGCAACATCTTCAGCGCCTACTTCAATTTGAAGTGAGCTTTTAGATTTCTCCACGAGTTTGTTAATCATTTCTCCTGGTGATCTTGAACGTCGTGATTGGTACTTTCTGTGTGTTTTCACACACCTTCTAGGCTACTTATATTGGAACTGATTGTTTCTTTGACTTGAACTTCGACCCTTTGAGTGTGAGGTTTCTTTCTTATCGGTTGATATCAAGTCTGAACAGCGAAAGACGATAAAACCAACACATGATCTACAAAATAAATTTTAACAATTGCGAAAAACACTACATTGGCCAAAGTGGACGACGTCCTCTTCGTTTTCGTATCCATGAACATTAACTAGCCGTCAACCGACATGACATCCACTCCCTCGCTCATATCACTACACACAGACAACCACGGACATCAATTCGACTCGGACAACCATCGTTCAAATATTAGACAGGGGAATCAACAAGAATGTTAAAGCATTTTTAGAAGGCTATCTGGTATTTCAGTGAATCATCAATCAATAGACACATCGAGACAGAGAAAATTTATCAATCGATAAGAAGGAAACCTCACACACAAAGGGTCAAAGTTCAAGTCAAAGAAACAATCAGTTCCAATACAAGTAAAATAGAAGGTGTGAAAACACACATAAACAACCAATCACGTTCAAGGTCACCCTTCTAGGAGAGATGATTAATAAACTCATGGAGAAATCGAAAATCTCACTTTAATTCAGATTGAAGTATGCGCTGAAGATGTCTCTTAGTAGGGCAATGGTGAAAGCTTCACAAATTAACTATCCAGCTAGCTGATAGAACACAACCACATCAAAATCATTCACCTGAGCTACATATTTTCTCTATCATATAAAAATATGTAAATACCACTTGATTTTCTCAATAAACGATCTGTTGTCTGGCCCTTGTCTTCTGTTATGACAACATTTCATTCAACACTTTTGTATGAATATAGTGTTATTTACCTAGTTTCACCGTCTTGTTGGATAAATGTTTCAATGTCATTACTTACTTACTTTACTTCGGCTATCTCCTACGGGAGGATGAGCTGGCTTCATGAACATCTCGAATCATCGCTGCCCAGGCGCGGCTATCTGATGCAAGATTTTGCGACAGGGATATCCAATTCTTGTTCCACAGACGGTTTGTAGCCCCAGGCACTCCATATCAGCCTTGACTGTACCAAGCAATGTCTTCAGCTGTCCACCCCTGCGACATCGTCAAGATGGAAATGGCGAGGGATTTAGAACTGATTTGACCAGATCGTCATCTGGTCGGCGCAGAACCTCGCCAAACCACCAAAGGCGACGTTGTTGGACCAGTACTGGAATTTGGTTGATGTTGTAGAGAGTTCATGAAGTTTCATGGGAATTAGGTACGAGTGATGTCCCAGAATCGATCGGCCTTTTGTTTCAGAGTGCAGCTCTAGCCTTTACACAACCAAGTGTGACCTACAAGGCAGTAGGAGTGGAGTAGGGAGTCCACTATCCATTGGAAGCCAGCCGGTGACCGGAGTCCGGTTCATACGCCTTTTTGAATGGGGCCAGACATCCAGGGCGCATCCAATAAGCCCTTAGCCCATACGTCTCCCGGTGAGCTCCGGTGAGCTTCATACGCCAGTCGTTGGAGGTTTAGAATCAGGCAGGGTTTAGCCATCTCCCCTAGACTGTCACCCAATGGACAGTCAACCCGGTGAAGAGCGCCGGTCATCCGCTTTTGCCCTCTCACTTCGGTGAAAAACACCTCCGCCACGTGAAGGCAGTGAGTAGGACTTCCTCAGGAGAGGCTATGTAAGATGCCCGGTCATATGGGAGCATTTCAAGAGGTGTATGGAGGGGTGGCCAAACCGCAGCGCAAGGCACCCACCCCCGACCATCCTGAGGCTTTGGAGGTTTCCAATGTCATTGGTCCATTCTCGCCTGTTAGGTGCCTAAAGTTTAACTTAGACAATTCAAGCAACAGTCGAAATGCGGAGGTGGTTGAACGAAAGCATGCTTGCCAACCAAATATGTGATCAGACTTTCGATTCTTAGTCGACGGACTGCTAGACCTCGCCTAAATGATAAAAAATCTAGTGAAGAGGGAAGGTAGAGAGAGCATGAAGGTAGCAATCTCACTCTCTCAAAAAAGAAGAACAACACCCCCACTACAACAGAAACTTCAAAGTTCAAAGCTTCAAGGCTCTATGTATGTTCCATTCAGATCGCACAATGAGAGGGGAAAACATCGAATACACACACACACACAGACAAAGAGTAACTAACACAATCTAAAAAAAGATCAACTTACTTGTATCATTTTATTATCCATATCTAAGGCTAATTGTAACATTGGTAGAACATAATTACGAAATTCTTTAATTGGAAATTTTGCACTTAGAATATGTAAATTTTGTAAAAATATTAATATAATCTATAAAAGAAACGAGAAGAATAACAGAAGGCATTAATATGGTGCATTGGGATACAATTCCATATTGGATAAGTTTATTTTAATTACCACATACAGTGATGCAATATTGACATATGCCAGAGATGGCGTAAGTTAGCGAAAGCAGCTCGAGCTTTTTGGATTTTGTAGGCATTTTGTTTGATTAGTTGGAGGATTTCATCATAAGCTGACATAGGTTAGAGAGCCATTGGAAAACCACAACCATCGATTACTGGACGGCTGTTTCGGCCTAATTTGAGACTCTTCAACTGTACGCACCCACCCTACTGGGGTTCGAACACAGGACCTTCTAGTTACAAGGCCAGCGAGCTCGTAGACCTTTAAACCACTGGGACCCAATCCAATGGCCCAGGAATACCAACTTCTGCCAATTCACGAGATAGCGCGGCCACTTAACAATGTCTTCTTCGATAGGTTACTGTCTACGAGCTCGCTAGCCTTGTAACCAGAAGGTTTTGGGTTCAAACCCCAGTGGGTTGGGTGCGTACTGATGAAGAGTCCAAAACTAGGCTGGCGAAACAGCTCTCCAGTACTCCAGAATGTTGGTTTTCCAATGTTTCTTTTAACCGATTTCAGTTCATGATGAAATCCTTCAACCAAGCAACCCACACAAATGAATTAATATTTATACAAGTATAATAATATATTGTTTTTATGAGATGACCTTCATTAACGGTTGTCTTCGCTCAATAATACTCAGGATCAGATGGCTGGCCAGAAAAGATCAGAAACAGGGAGGGATTTCTGGGAGCGAGCCAACCAGGAACCGATTGTACAGAAAATAAGCAAGAAGAAATGGAGATGGATTGACCATACTCTAAGGAAACCATCAAGTGGCATCACTAGACAAGTCATTGATCGAGTGGAACCCGAAAGAGTGGGAAGCGGCGAGTTGGTCGTCAGTGTTAGGGTGACTTGGAGGAGGTCATGTGAAGAGGAGATGAAAGCATGTGGGCAGACTTGGAGAGGGGTGAAAAAGTTGATAGAAAACCGAAGGCAATAGAGACGCGTGGCTGAAGCCCTTTGTTCCTCTAGGAACTAAACGAGACAATATTAATAATAATTTATGAGATGATTATAACAAACTTTTCTTCTTCTCCTTACCATTGTATGATCACAACTCACCTGAATAGGCTCTTTCATTGTCATCACAGGGATAAGACGAGGAAGCATATACTGAATAAATTCCTCTTGACTCACAGTATCCATAATTTGTAAAACAGCCGGTAGAATAAATGGTACCATATGGGGATTAGAAAAATCTTCAGCAATTTGTGGAAATACACGATACAGGCATAAACGCTAAATAAATAAGCAAACAAAAGATAAAAATACACAGAAGTCGAACAAAAAAGTACGTAAAACATGATATTTCATTCAGATCAATAAACTTTCGATATGCGGGAACAAAAAGCGGACGAGTGGTTCCACTAGTAGAATGTTCGCCAATCTTGCAGCGAAATTCTACGTCTACGCTTATATGTCGTCTCCTATCGACCGACAGATGCTACCTTGACATGGTGGTCGCCAGGCTTGCACATCGCGATGACCAAACAAGCTACACTGGCTGGAACCAATGTTGGTTGTTGCAGGTCCTACCATGCCAGGAAGGTTGTTAGGATAGCGATTAGACTAAAAGCAGTTACCGACATTGTGTAAGAATTTTTGTTTACGCCATGCTGGGGATCTGTGGGCGAGGTCGTACACCAGTGAGGTGTTTCCCTCAGATGACCAGCATGCCAGCCAGCTATGCTGTCTCTCCACTCTGGAGAGAGGAGATTAGAAAAGGTCGACCCCAAAAATTGTACATCCTGACTTACCCTGAGGTGGTCCGTAACCGGCGGTAAGTTTACTAATACGCAACCAAACTACGAAACCAATTCATACAGGCCATGTGTGACCGGCCACAGGCAGTTGTCCCTTGGGCTCTGCGGTCACGCAACACTAACCCTCATTCTGCTCTAGGTACCCAAAGAATCAGGCAACTTCCACGGTGTAGGGGGAATAGCCGAGAAGTAACAACTACTCACACACTTTCAAGAGCACACGAAGCCTTCCCGAGCATAATTCTCCTCTCATCTCCTAATACGGACGGTTTGAGCATGTCCGAAGGTGAACATAATGTTATTACGGTTGATGGTAGAATTCAAAAGTGAGTTTCTTCCTATCTTGAGACTCATCAGCTTAATATAGAGCTCCATCCATATTGAGAAACTATAACCCAGTACACATCGTTTCAAACGCGGAAGCGTTATCCAGTAAGCAAACAAGAAGTATTGTCAATTGTCCAGTTCAGGAATGATCCTGAACCTATCACTGCTGCAGAAAAAATTAATCGCTGCCTCCGAATATTAATTTCCGGTAACCAACTAGGAAAGATCAGAAAAAAAAGATTGGCAAACTGAGGATTTGTTTACTTCCTTGCCGACAATGAACCATGTCTACAAGGTTACTACGCACAATCACGATAATACTTCTGATTGCCTTTCTTCAGTCTTCTGCTAAACAGTATACGATTACGCCAAGGTCATCTCATTGTTTCCTCCCGCCAAAATGGAAATCAGTTCAAATAAACAAACGATATCCTTCAAATTAATATACAAGATTCAATCAAACCTATCAAAGGGAGTAAAATTAAGACATCTGGGCATAGCCGAGGCACTAGTTATCCAAAATCTCAAACCCATGCTATGTATCTAAAAGAAATATATCCAACCCTTATCCCTGCCATGGCCATCATTAAACAGGTAATTCTTTTAGTAATGACCATCCCATTGCCTTTCTTATCTAAACTCCCTGTTTATTCATGTTACTTTTAAGTTTCTTTTAATCCTTCCACTATTTACACTACCATATTTTCATATTCGAATTTCCTGACTATCTTTTGTCATTTTATTATTTCTACATATTTAATCACTGACTGTATAAACAATTATTCGTCACATTAGTTATGATCCCAGTAGATTTTGTCATCCAAACATTCTGTTTATTTTTGTTATTTCTACATTTCTAACCCCTAATTGCACAATATGTGAATCATCTCAGTAATTATGATGCTACTTTGTTTGAGTTTTATCCGCCCCCACCCCCACTGTTTATTATGGCATTTCAAATTCCTACTTGTAATTTTATTAATTTGCCCCTTAACCGGAAATTATTCTGCAACTCTCCTATCCATCTATTATAAATTCACGAATGTAGTTGACGGTGACTTCATCGAAAAGAAAATTTTCTTCTCTGCAACTGTCTTCTTAATAAAATTATATTTGTACATTCACAGCAAAATTGTGAAATGATTAATTCCAACGTTTCCAGTGTCCGGCAATCTGGTCTGAACTTCTTCACGGAAATTAATCGAAATTAACATAACAGAGGTTTATATATATATAAAAGGGGAAATCTCTTGCTCTTTTTAAAAACTTTGTCCAATCATATAAGTCATGAAACGGGTAACAACATGTATAATAAACAAAGTTGTACGAGCTGTGATCAAAATTTGACCTCAGACTTAACCTCAAAAATTAGTCTACTTTTGAATAAGGCATTAAGAAGACAAAATTCGCCTCGAGATGATATCGTCATTTCGTAGTTTCTTTACAACCGCTTTACAACTAACATGGTTAACAATGATAATAAAGTTCATGAAAATTACTCAGTTAAATAAAAGAAACAAAAGTATATACTAATGACCAATCATATTTAGATAGGTCATGTAGTCCAGGGTAGGCGAAGATTGAAGTCTATTGATTTTTGTATACACAGTTTAGGCTGTATGTGGTTATCCAGAAAACTTCATCAATTGTCACGGTAAGGATAGACCACATCTTGAAAAGACAGCTTCTGTACCAAAGAAAGCTATCTTTATTAGCCTACCATTCAAGGGCGACCAGATTATGCAGTTGACAGCTCAAAGACTTCGGTCAGCCATCAAACGCACATTCTACGCCGCCACATCTCTTTTTCTCACTTGCCGAACATTTTCGATCCCTGTACCTACGATTAAAGGACGAAATTCTGTGGACCCTACTTCAAACTGTAGTCTACTTTTGTTAAACAATTTAAACAGAGTGTACTTTTCACCAGATTGCGTTAAACTAAAAGTTCTCTAACTGATATCAATCCATGATCAACTCGTAAAAATAAAAGTTCATGGTCGTAGATAACTGAATATGAAAATAAATATGTGTACATGCAGTATGCAGAGGTGTGTGTGTATGTGTGTGTGTGTGTGTGAGTGAACAGTCATAAAACATTTGTTAGCCTCTCCACCATAAGAAGATATAGACGATCGGGAATTTTGACCAAGTATGATTAATTAGTGATACATATCCATTTTTTTATTTATCAATCAGAATTTGCCGTGCATCAGCTAACAAGATCACGCCTTCATGTCTGTTCAAACTGTTGGGATTCACCCATATATGTAGGGCTTCTGTAGTCAGTCGGTGATATGTATCCATATATATATATATATATATATATATATATATATATATATATGGTGATCTCTCTTTCTGTTTGCTCGCTTAGTCTGTGACCATTTCACTTGTATGAACTTGTCTCCTTTAATAATGTATATTCTCCTTATATTATATTATATATAATGAGTGTTTGTTGACAGTCCGTTGCTTGGTGACATATATCCATATTATATGTGCGGTTGTTTGACATGTCTGCTATATTTTGCTATGTATATATGGATCGACACTCCATTATAATTAGCCATTCATGTTAAGACTGTCTATTGATTTGTTCACGCACTTGTTTGGACATTCATATATATTTCGCTCACACAATCTTGTGTGACACTTTGGTGTGATACCACTTATTGCTTCTCTTTGTGTTTGGAAAATAGAAGTATCATCGCAAACCTAGTGGTCTTCTGATTCCCGCCTTCTTGCGTCAGGACTATTAAATTCTCGACCAGTACATAACAATAATTCGGCGACGAGTACATAACAGTCGGTCAGTCTTTCTTTATACAAACCAAATACCTTTCTGTAGAACCTAAGTCATATCGAAGTCAATTTTGTGCCCCGTTTCTATCGAGTACAGTGCAATCACCGATCTTTTTTCTAGCTTTGTTAAGGCTTTTGCAGAGGTCTTTGAAACCACCTTTAGACATTTTTTATGCTCTTTCACTCTTATATTTACCTGTTTAGAAGTTCCTCCTACATATACAGCAGGATCACAGTTCCCACAACTGATCTGCTACACACATAATTCTGTTAGTTGTCTTCTTCTATTTTATCATCCTTAACCTTGACCAGTGATGAGCGTGTAAGGTGTTAGTTGCACGAAAAAAAAACGCTGTTATGTCAATTTCGATTAATTCCCCTGAAGAAGTTCGGAACAGATTGTCGAACACTGGAAACGTTGGAATTAGTCATTTCACAATTTCGCTGAGATTTTACAAATATAATTTTTCAAAAAAATGGATACTAAACAAAGGATACTTTTTTCGATAACGCCTTCTTCATCAGGCTCTGCGGTTATATACACATTATAGTGAATGAATGAATTAGTGTTATTACAACAAACAACATTAATGTTGTTTAAATAACATCGAATCAACAATAATATCAATGGATTACAGCTCAATAGCTTCTACATAGAATAAGCTGAATATCAGAAAAATTAAGAAAGATAATATTACGAATTCACGAATTTGTAGTCACTACTGAAGGCTGGCCAGGGCAGTAGTAGTGGCTAGCTGGACTTGCTTCTTTTGAACACAGCACTGGTTGTTTGAGGCGAATTGCAATAGCCTCTGCTGTATAGAGCATGAGGTGCTTCGATGATTTTGGCAATTTATTTGACACCCGGTGGATTATAGAGAAGGATTCTTCCACACTGGCTGGCTTTGTAGCCGGCCGGTATACACCAGATGGTCCAATATCGAACTGGTAATGATGGTTTTCACTACGCCTTTACTCAGCCAACACGGAAAATCAAGTTCCTAGAGCAACAGCCAACATACCTCGCTTCACCACAAGCGCAGCTGAATTGGTAGATACAATTTGAAGTGGCCAGCTAGTCTACGTACTTCATTTTTCAGTCGAGGTAGCACCATCGGTCGTGTAGAGAATAATACGTGTAGTTCGCTGCCAGCATTAAAAGTTCTTTGAACTGATTTTCTTAATTTCCTCGTAATTATCTCACTTGGTGTATCCATCGCCCTTGAATTGCAGTCGTATATAAAGTGACTTCTTGTTTACAGATAGTGAGTAGTCAATTTCCGCCGCTTTCGTCGTCATATGTTTCTTGATAAATTTTTCAGGATAGCTATTTTCGATTAAAGTATCATATAAAGTGCTTAATCCATCTTCAATTACTTTTTCACAAATGTCTACTTCTCACTCAGCGTTCAATTATGTTTTGGAATTATTTCGTCAAATCTTGATCACAGTTCATATGAAACAAACAATATGTTGCTCGTTCAATGTTCACCGTGACACTGACAAGTATCTTTATCAAAACGTTGAAGTTTAACCCTTTTTCAAGTACTTTCACCTTACTAGAGCTTAGTTTTATCACAAAAAATTCTTTTATAATAGGATTATACTCTTGATAATATTAGATTTGACACTAGTAACTAGTGTGATGTGTCTAGTCCTCTCAATGGTGCAGACTGAATTCTATCAATCAGGTTGTAATGTGGCCACCATTCGAGGTAGCTCGCCATCACGATGCACATTGATTTGATGATATTAGATGGTTGGAGGCAATCAGCAGGAAGCTGCTTTGGACCTAGGATTATACTCTACCATAATGGCAAAACGTGATATTTCTTATATCAATTTGAAAACAGGATTATACAAATTCGATTTTTATTATGATAACAACAACAACGACAACTTACTTTTGGTAAAGTGTGAATAGAATTCGGTAAGGATTTATAAAATTGTGATCTAGCCAAATTATCCAATTGATACATATTGTCAACACTGCGCAGTACAGACATTGATGCATCCTCGAAATACGGTGTCTATTGGGGGTGCAGAGCGATTGATGAATAAACAAAAAGAATGCAATTAGTTGCTTTTTTTTTAGATGCAATTTCAAAATATTCATATCAATATAATCTGGAATAAACTTTAGACTTGCATGGTACTATATGATACTACTGGTTGCTCGATATAAGTAGTTGTACAATGATTATATTAACCAGCAGTACTGACTGACTGGTTTCAACGTAGAACTTTGCACCGATGTGCAGCAGTTCGAGTCGCCACACCTCACTCAGCACACAAAGAGAAGAAGGTATAAGGAAATGCAAAATAGAGACAGTAAACAGAGATATGAGACGAAAAGAATAGTAATATCGAAGAACAATATCGTTTTATGAGGTATTATAAATCACAATGAAAGGAGGCATCTGTGCCAGCCATTGACAACGATTTTGATTCATATTGCAACAACAGAAGACAAGGTCCAGGCAACAGATCCTTTATTTAGGAAACCAAAACATTATAATCAAGTATTGGTTTTGTAGGGATTTTCTTTGATTGCATGGAAGATTTCATCACGAGCTGACATCAGTAAGAGAACCACTGGTAAACCTGCGAGTACTGGATATCTGTTTCGTCCATATATATATTTAAATATTTTCATGTACATTATTATAGATTATTTTAAGCAAACAAACACAGTCTTTTGTTTGGTTGTTTCTCGCTGAACGTTAATTATTCATCTGTTTGTGACTGTTTCTTGAAATTCAGATTATCTATCTGCAAATTGTATCCGCCTACTCAAAGTCTGCTGTGATTGGTTGTTGAGTCAGTCTTTGTTTTTATTTTTCTCATGACCAATATTGGAGACGTACACATTAACGTAAATTACTATCTACCAATTATGGCTAGTAGCCAGCCCTCACCACAATATCACCAATTGTCTCCAGCCATTGGTTTATACCGTCCTGAGGAGCCAAACCAATCAGGAAGTGTACACCTTCCTACTTGTCTGGCTTAAACTAACTGTTATGGATTGGATTGAGTGATGAAGCCATGTTTTGGTTTGACCAACACTAGTTCTCTCTTTTCCAACCTTATACCATGCCAGTCAGCTAACATTACCCACTGTTGAGGAAGGCGATGGCTAGGGATGCATTCGTGACACATGTGCTAACCATCTCAGTCGATATAACTTCACAGCCTCGTCTATTGATTTCCTCTCCCATCTACCTAGCACTCGACCGATGCCTAACCTCAATATTACTCACCCTATTACATCTACCACCTAACACGGGAGACAGAACGCAGACACCTATGATCAAAGACAGCTAGTCAGGCTTTTCCTGTCTTCCGCTTTCAGTGGGCACATCTCGCAGAAATGAAGGAGGACGGAGCGGACTGACGAGCAGTACACACGCCCGTTGGTCGACCGCCAGTCGGATATCACGTCTACGCCAGAGACGGCGTAAACTAACATACACGAAGTGAACCCTCTCTGTCCGTGCTGAGATTTCGTCAACGATCAACCCGTTGGAGCTGGCTGCCTGCCGCAGTTTCCCGAATAAGGGAAGTGGTGAACACGCTCCACCAACCACTTCACTCCCTATTTCTAAGCAAGGAGTCAATGCAGTCCAGTCCTGTAACATCATTATACATTTGGTAGTGCTTGCTGAACAGCTAGATTGAAGTGATCTAAACACCGGATAACTGTTTCGGCTGTTTGGGGCTGAGATCATTAATAGTGTACCCAATTTTGCTCAGCTTGGACAGCCGGATCAGTTCAAACCACCCAACTTCTGGCTAGGTATTTTAGAGAACCGATAACACCACAAATGAAATTTGCAATTCATACAGTTCGAGGAGGTGAAACTTTTTACCACAGTTTCCTTTAGATCGCCTGCATATGATCTGCTTGATGCCGTAGATGGGGTAATTCCAAAAAGGCAAGACTTAGTGATCACAAAAGAAATTTTGGGGAATTGAGAAGTTTGTGACAGAAGGAACAGGATATTGAAGAAAAAAATACTCGCGTCAACTTTGGTAACGTAAACACATCTAGACGTTCCTATTTGGCAAGAATTCACAAACTAGATCGCTATGGTCGATAATGTGACCTAGTACACTGAGAGCTAAGGCACAAGCGAAAGATACTCTGATCGCAAATCACAATATCACCCAAAATAACAATGCCATTAGCACGTGAAAACAGGAAGAGAACCATTAATAACTCAAAAATAGTCGAAATGCTTGACAGTCACGGTGAATTTATGGCGTGTCATTGACAAGACCTGTCAGTACAGTGTATGAAGAGATGTTTGTCGGCACAAAAAAATCATATAACAGGGAGATATCAGCTGGCGAGTGATGACTAGCAGTGGAATCCACGAGGATGCCCATTTCGTCCTATTTGGGACTCGTCAGCTATCTGGATGTACCTGCATTCTCGAGTCAGTGAGTGATAGTGTTCCCGCAGAGGCTTGAACCCAGTGTCCATAGTTTCAAAGGCCAAAGCGTTATCCACTAGACCATTTGGGCATCCTGGATTCCACTGCTAGTCACTACACACCGCAACTGACTTCAAGTTTTGAGAGAAAGCATTGTCGAAGCATCTGCACAAGCAGCCGACATATCAACCTGAGACCAAGCACTTCGGGGTCCAATCAATCGACGGGAAAATTTAAAATTGAATTAAACAAAAGAGAGAGAGAGTAGAGTTGATGTCAAAGAGAGCAAATAGACCAGTGTTGAAACAAGACATGGAAGACGTGAAAAGAAGACGAAGAAACACCATATGAAAGTAGGGCGGAAGACGGACAACACAGCAGATCTGTTCAGCAAATGACGATTTTCAGATAAGGCGTACATACACAGTTTCCCTTGTGTTTTTATATCAAATTCCTAATAAGCATTCCGTTACTATGTCTCTTATCTTCTACCGGTTGCAAATTTACATAGCCTTCAAATAACCATTGAAAAAAAAACATTAAAAATTCACTGGCGGGTAGGCTTGAAGAGTTGGCAACCAATAAGAATTCAGTCTTCACAAAGAGTAAAAAGAATACAAAATGCACCACCACCATGAAGGCGCGATAACTACTAAACTAAATGTGCAAAATTAAGGGTACATAACACGGATGTATCACTACACCTTAATATAAACAATTCGATGATAGTTTGTAGATTGAGAGAGAGAGAGAGAGAGTGGGATACATACAAACATACAAACCCCTAACAGTACTCACCTACAACACTTCGTTCATTATCACAACTAGTACTGAAAACTCTACATCCTTTTAGGAGATTAGTTTGGACGTTCCATTTATGTTGTGTTAAACACCGTCGAACAATTATACAGTTAGATCTTGTTTGTCCCTTGCTTAACCATGCGGCTGGATGATGTTCAGAAATACGATGATGAACCTGCCTAATTGTACGCCCGATGTAGCTGGCTCCGCAGCTGCAGTCAATCTGATAGATACTGTTATGTTGCTCGTCGCTAAATTATTATTATGTACTGGTCGAGAATTTAATAGTCCTGACGCAAGAAAGACGGAAATCAGAAGACCACTAGGTTTGCGATGATACTTCTATTTTCCAAACACAAGGAGAATAAATGTGTCACACAAGAGTGTGAGAGCAAAAATATATATATGAATGTCCGAACAAGTGTGTGAACAAATCAATAGACAGTCTTAACATGAATGGCTAATTATAATGGAGTATCGATCCATACATACATAGCGAAATATAGCAGACATGTCAAACAACCACACACATATAATATGGATATATGTCACCAAGCAACGGACTGTCAACAAACACTCATATTATATATAATATAATATAAGGAAAATATACATTGTTAAAGGAGACAGGTTCATCAAAGTGAAATGGTCACAGACTAAGAGAGCAAACAGAAAGAGAGATCACCATACACATATATATATGGATACATATCAGATACCCATAAAGGAGGAGGCAAATTTAGGTAGTTTGTGTCCTAATTTCTAGAACGTAGAATATGGGTGAATTGGTTATTTTTGTGTGTTTTCACACCTTATAGGCTACTTGTATTGGAACTGATTGTTTCTTTGACTTGAACTTTGACCCTTTGTGTGTGTGTGAAATTTCTTTCTTATCGGTTAGTAAATTTGGTCTATCTCCATGGGTCTATTGATTGATGATTCACTGGAATACCAGTCAGGCTCCTAATATTCTCTAGCATTCTTGTTGTCTCCTCTGTCTAATATGTGTAAGTTTTCTCAGTCGAATTGATGTCTGTGGTTGTCTGTAGGCAGCCATATGAGCGAGGGAGTGGATGTCATGTCTTTTGACGGCTAGTTTAATATTCATGGATACGGAGACGAAGGAGACGACTACTTTGGCAGATGAAGTCTCAAATGTCGTCATTGCAATTTATTTTGTAGACGATTTTGGTTTTATCTTTCTTCGTTTTTGAGTCTTTTGGTTGACATATGGATGGCTGAGTGAAGGGATTTTGTTGGTTTGTGTGCGACGTCAACTCCTAAAGGTGTTTGAAGAGTCTTTCAATGATTTCTGAGATATCCTTTATATATGGTAGGGCGATTTTCTTTGTGCTTTCCTTGAGGGCCTTTGATTTGATAGATTGGCGTGGGGGTATATGTCATCTGATGAAATTTCGTGGATATCCATTCTTTTGGAAGACGTCCATGAGATATATTTCTTCAATTTTCCTTAAGGTGGGAGTACTGCAATGAGTCCTGGCTGGCCCTCTTGAACAGTGTTTATATACAATGTCTTTTGTGTGTTATTGGATTGTTGCTGTTGTAATTGAGTATTTGGTCCGTATGAGTTGTTTTTCTATAAGATTGAGTTGCTAATTTTCCAGTGGTTGTTCGCATACGATTATTCCTCTCAACCAATCAATAGTGTATAACATCATGACTTAATCCTGGGATTCCTGGTTGTCACTTATGATATCAAGCCGAGATAACATATTAAAATCTGAATAATTCGAGTTTCCAAAGGCAACTGCGGGGACATTCACCGCGAATTATGTAAAATGAACACTAATTTGCGAATCGCGCATTGGATTTAGTTACATACCATGGCTTATTTCGCCGTGGGTTTCTTTTCAACTGATTACAACTCCAAACGTTTGATAACAGCTACTTCGAAATAATAAAGAAGATTTGTAGCTCAGGTGGATGACTTGCAATTAGTAGGGTTCTCTGAGCTGGTTGGTTTAGTAGCGGAACACAAAAATCCAGGAACACAAATCAGCTTTGAAAAGACATGATATATATTCCTGTTTCATATCAATGCATATAGATAATTATGGACATCAGTTTGATTAGGATAATGTCGAAATCTTAGACAGAGGAAACACCAAAAGTGTCAGGGAAGTCCTAGAAACCTGGTACTCAAAAGTATATGCGATTAACAAACATGTTAGTTAATATAGACCAAATATACCAATTAATAAAAAGTAAATTATGTGAAGAGAAAGTTTAAAATCCAAGTCAATAAAACATGATCAATACAAATGTAAAGATGGTTACCAGAAGACGAAATTCTATAGCTTATGGAAAGTTTAAATCAGTTCACTTTATGCTAAAGAAATTGCACTGTAGGGGGATGTCAAGAAGGACGACGAAAGCTCCGCAACTAAACCAACCAGCTCAAAGAACACTGTCAATTGCGAAACAGCTACTTTAGTAAAATTGAAGAGAATTAAATTAAAGAATTTCAGGACGTTCACCCCATGACCTAGTTTAGCCAACCAAGTTGAAATAGACGGAGTGGGACTCGAACCCAGGGACTCATTGGCTGAAAATCAAATACTTAAGCCAATGAGTCCCATCTCCACCTTATCGCCAACAACTTATTACTAAACAAGCATTTGTTTGAGTTCAGTTACATTACATATAACTACCAAATAACGAATACACACATAAAAAAAACACAACATCAAATGAAAATGTGTAGTGGTAAACCTACTCGTAAAAATTGAACAGCATCTGGACGAATTTGTGGATCCGACGAAATCATCATTTTCACATATTCTTTTAAATTACTCGGTAAATTAGTCGCTTTAGTAGACAATGTCGACGGTAGCTTGTTATGACCAAAAAAAAAATAACAGTAGGAATAGACAATAATACGACATAAAAATCTTGCAGATAAATAGTATTTTTTGTAATATGTTTACAACAGATTTCAACTACTTATAAGTAGTATATATTGAGTTTTAAAAATGAATGAATGAAAAGAACGAGTCTAATTTTCATTTTTTTAATTTGAAATTATTTCAGAGGACTGATGAAACTTTGAGGAGATTAAATTTATGGAAAGCTGTCATAGAATGGTCAGCTGACAAATTCCTACGGCTGATTACCACCCATTCATTGATCGAAAGCGAAACCTGATTCGACCAACTGCTACTCGTATTCAGCACATTATGTAATCCTGACGCTTTGGAAGAGGAGTTAAATCTTCTAAGAAAAATCTTAATGGGAAATGAATATCCACCGCGTTTTATAAACAAAAATGTAAGTAACGAAGAAAAGGTTGTATATGAATGAATCTTGAATTCACAGGTAACTTAGCTGGCAACATCCTTGAAAAAAGCATCTTACAGTCCCTGGAGAGGACATTCACTACACAGCATCGTTGAGATCAGCGTTTTCTAGTAGACTATTACTGCTCAATAGAGAGCCAGAAGGACAAGATCTCGCAGTTGTCCAACTATCAGTTGCATATATCAATTCATCTCTAATTAGGGAGTTAGGCATATCGATCGTTCAATGCGGTTTTTGTTCAAGAGGATGCAAGAACACTACTCTCCATAGTTACGAATACGTGGGAAGTTGCGTCATAAGAAGAGCAATAATTGAGCATCTGGTCAATAGTGACCATATCTTATTTCTACAGCCTCTTCCTTTAAAGTTATCTACAAGGTGAAAAATAACCTAACAAAATCATTAAGTATCCAACTCATCCGGACTGCTGAAGCTTTGGTCATCGAAAAAAAGTTACATGACTCTCTAACCAATGCCAGCTCATGATGAAATCCTGTAACCAATCAACCGAATCCCTACAAACCAATACTTGAATACCAATTAGATGCTCACTGGTGACTGGCCCTACTCAGGTAGGTAGTTACCTGGGGTTCCAGTGGGAAGTCGTGACCAGTAGGGTGCAGCAGGTCGGGTGTGAGAACAAATACTCGCCGAAAACATTGGTTAGCGGTTGCGCTATATCGTGAATTGGCAGAGGTTAGAATTCATGGACTGGCCATTGGATCGGCGGGTCCAAGTGACTTAATGATATACGAGCTCGCATTGTAACCAGAAGGTCCTGGGTTCGATCCCCGGTGGATGTGTACTGCTGAAGAGTCCCAAACTAGGACGAAACAGTTGTCGGGTACTCCCAGGTTTTCCAATGACTCTCTAACCAATGCCAGCTCATGATGAAATCCTGTAACTAAAGTTAGATCATTGTACACAGTAAAAAAAGAAGGCTGCCTCTCCTTGTGGAACACGTACGTACACTCCGATCACGCTCTGGTCCACGCAGGTTTATGTTTACGTCTAAATCGACATTAAAAATTGTTGGCAGCGAAACAGTTACTCCCCCTAACTGGATCAAGACAATGAGTCCCTATTTAAGGACCAAAGGGAGGGTGTACTGCTCATCAGACCGCTCCGTCTTCCTTTATGGCTGTGAGACATGGCCACTGAGCGTGGAAGACATGAAAAGGCTAACTAGCTGTCTTTGATCATACGTGCCTGCGTTCTATCTCCCGTGTGAAGTCGTATAATAAGGTAAGCAATATTGAGGTTAGGCCTCGGTCGAGTTCTAGGTAAACAGGGGAAATCAATCGGTGAGGTTGTGAAGTTACAAAGACTGAGATGGTTAGGACATGTGTTACGTATGCTCAGCCTAATCACCACCTTCCTCGACGAGCAATGTTAGCGGATACAGGGTCAGGCTGGAAAAGAGCTAGTGGAGGTCAAACAAAAACATGGCACCAATCAATGGAATCTATAACAGTTAGTCTAAGCCACATAGGAAGGTGTAGACCACCTGACTGACTGGTTGGGGTCCTCGGGACGGTAAAAACCAATGGTTGGAAACAATTGGTGACATGGCTCAAAATCGTTCTCAGTGGCGCAGATGCATCCACTCCTTGTGACTTATGATTTCCAATGAAACCGTTTTGTTCTTTGTTATAACTCTTCTTTTGTCTCACACCTCTGCTTACTGTCTCTATAATGCTTTTCTTGTACTTTCTTCTCTTGCTTTGTGTGCTACAAGGAGGGAGTGTGGTGACTTGAACTGGTGCACATCGGTGCAAAGTTCTATGTCGAAAACAGACAGACAGATTTAAGGAAGAAATAGAGAAACGTGTATTTGAGGTCGACAGTAGGACTTCGCCCGAGGTAGCCTGGCACAACATACAGTTAGCTAGCTGTAGACACATCTGTAAAAGCTGTTTTATAACCTAAAACCACCAATGAAGGCTTGAGACAATTGGTGATACGGCTCAAATTGATTGTTCTCAATGTCTGGCTTGACGCATCCCCACTCTTTGTGACTTATAATTTTCAATAAAACTCTATTGTTTTTCTGCCATATTAATATTCTTTTTGTCTCATATCCCTATCTACTGTATCTATTATGCATTTCTTCTACTTTCTTCTCTTGCTTTGTGTGGTACATGGAGTGGAATGTGGCGACTTGAACTGGTGCACATCGGTGCAAAGTTCTACGTCGAAATCTGTCAGTCAATCAATCACACAAAAAAAACACATTTGTTCAATCGCTCCACCTTCTTTCACGAGCCTAATTCATCTAAGCTAAACTATTATAATTCCTATTCTTACATCGATGGTATTAATTTATAGTTGTTTTGTTTCGTCAATTTTGTATATTACTTTCCCTTAATAGTTCAATTCAAATAGAATGTGTTAGAGTGAAATAAAGCAGATAAATCAATAATCCAAGTGGTATGATAACCTCTCAGCTGATCTTTGATTCTACACCATGTGGTAGTGGAGTGGCTTAATTGACAGGCAATGTCACAAGTGATTGATAAGCACTGGTGTATTCAATCTATAGCTGAAGGCAATGATGACAAGTTAAATAAAACTAATGTGAAACTAGATTAACATTTACGCGGATTATGTTAAAGCCCTTTTTAACTGAAGTTATGAAGTTAAGTAAGAGATTGTAGACAATTATCTCAGCAATGCCTCCTTCACTTATCTAGCCACGAAGCATTTCACCAGAGAACTTTACACAGAAGTGTGGCAGTGTTCATGTTGCCTCACTCCATGTAGTACACAAAGGAGGAGGGCAAAAGTGAAAAAAAGGCTTAAAAGAACTATGAAATTTACCGCAGAAAAAATAGTAACATAGAAGAAACATGAGGCTTCAATGGATATGCGAGATTACAAAGAATGAATATACATCTGCACCATTGAGAATAATAATTTTGAGGCGTCCTAAGCCATTGGTTCTTAAAAGTCGGATGAACCCAACCACCAGGCAGTCTAGGTGGAGCGAACTAACTGTCAAAAACTTCACGGACTAATACTAATCTTCCAATCGACTACCCCTTTACCTACCTGGGAAGCATCGTTTCAACTACAGGCGGATGGAACTGATGAGGATATCAAAGCAGCGAGGATCGGGAAGGTAAGACAAGTTTTCGTTACTCTCAAGTCTGTATGGAGGTCAACAGCACTACTCAGCATGAAAAATAAGATCAGGATTTTCAACTCCAATGTCAAGTTAGTCAGTGCTACTAGACGGATCAGAGACTTGGCCAGTGCGTAACGAAGGACACTTCGAACAAACTGTAGACCTTCACCAATACCTGTCTCGCTCAATACTACTCAAGAACAGATGGCCAGCCAGGAAAGATCAGCAACATGATCTCTTGAAGAGAACCAACACAGCAGAAACCGATTGGGCAACAAATATGTAGGAAGAAATAGAGATGGATTGATCATACTCTGAGGAAACCATCAGATGACATCACTAGACAGGCCCACGAGTGGAAACCGAAAGGGAAGCGGCGACTTGTTCGTTCAAGGGTGACTTGGAGGAGGTCATGCGAAGAGGAGATGAAAGCATGTCGGCAGACTTGGAACCAGGTGAAAACGTTAGCAAAGAACCAAACGCAATGGAGACGTTTGGCTGAAGCCCTATGTTCCTCTAGGAACTAAAGAAAACAATAATAATAATAGTACTCCCAACTTATTTCCCACCAAATCCTATGTCGGATAACACTGTGCCTTGAGGAAGGTGATGACCAACGATGCATGCGTAACACATGTCCTAACCACATCAATCGATGTAGCTGATTCACAACCCCGTTGATTGATTTCCCATCCCGCCTACCTAGCTAGCACTCAACTGATGCCTAACCTAAATATTCCTCACCCTACTATACCGCTCAACACGAGAGAGAGAAAATGCAGACCACCTATGATCAAAGACAGCTACCCGGCCTTTTCATGTCTTCCACTCTCAATGGCCATATCTCACAGCGAACCATAAAGGAGGACGGAGCGAACTGCGGGGCAGTGTACACTTCCTTTGATCGATAACCGGATACCACGTCTACTAAGCCAGAGATGGCGTAAGCTGGCAAATGACGCATGAGTCTTTTGTATCCATGCTGAGATTTTGTCAGCAATCAGACCATTAAGGCTCAACCCTTCACTCTCTATCTGTAAACTAGAAGTTACTGCAATCCAGTTCTATAGGATCATCTCACATTTTACAGGGGTGAGTCGCATCCCAAAAAACTCCTACGATTTCTACTCAAGGTGTCCCCCCGAGGACTGACTCTGCATAAAATAAGAAAAAAACAAAACAAAAAGTGAACATGATAATTACATTTATGCATATACTTACCTGTTTCACAGTTCGTTTATACGCTGAATAATCATTCCCCACGTAGAGAATTGATTTACCACGATTGAATAGGGCACAGATTAGCAGACCCAGAGAGAACATATCACTTGCAGCGGTCACTTCACCCTATATATGTATGTTGTATACAATAAGAAATGTAATAGTAATAAGAAAATATCGTTATGCAATTTACAGTTTATGGAGGAATGGACTAACGAAAAACAGGCAAATATAGGAGAATTTTGGGGAATGACAAACAATTAGTATCGGTTCCAGTTGCCCATCTAGTCAGGAATTTCATACATTTGGTTCCTTTGATAAATTTTGATAGAGAAAGAAAGACCAGATTTGCAGTATAAAATGATACCATCATTCTATTTCACAGGTTCTCATCAGCTGCACACCACTACCTGAAATTACAATGGTTATAAATAATAACATTTCATACTTCATTGTTTGAAAGGTAATAGAGAAAGCACTATAAGGTGAACGCATCTGGAATATAAGTATTATGATCTAAGTCACCATCAATTTATATACTATCAAACTAGTCGGGAATTAACAGGAAAGAACATAAGAAGTCAGTTGGTGGATGCTGACTAGACGTGGGATCCAGGATAAGACAGGTTTCGTCCTATTTGGGAATCGTCAGCTTGCTGGATGTACCTGCATTCCCCAGTGAATCAGTGATGGTGTTCCCATCGGGGCTTGAACTCAGTGTCCATAGTTTCAAACGCCACTTGAAAACTTGGGCTAACGGGAGCTACCTATTGTGCAACAGGTCATATTAATTATTTAGTTCAGTTTTAGATTTTCCCGTCGGTTTTTTGAGCACTGGGTTTGAGCCTCGTTGGGAACGCCATCGCTGACTCACTGGGGAATGCAGGTACATCCAGATGACGAGTAGTCCCAAATAGGATGAGATGCGCACATCCTGGATTCGTATCACTGCTAGTCACCACCCACCGTAACTGACTGCAAGTTACATGACCAGACATCGTCGAAAAATCTGCACAAGGAGTCGACATGTCAACCTAAGACCTAGCACTTCGGGGTCCAATCAATCGACAGGAAAATCTTAAATTGAATTTAAGAAGAATGAAGACAATTTAGGAAAAAATAGAAGAAAGGAAAAGTTGAAAAGACAGTTGCAGCGAAGAAAATTTCTCTTCCGACGAAATTGTCAACTAGGCTGTACATTCGTTAATATATATATATAGTAAATGGGTGGGAAAGTTTCAGAACCATTTGCGGTCGACGTACAAACTAATAAGATCATAATTATGACCCTATTATGTTGTTATCCGATCATCCTGTTTACTAAGTTATTACTACGTTTTAAATCCCTATTTTTAATCCTGTTAATTTGATCCTCAATCAGAAATAGTTTTGAAACTTTCTCATCCATTTACTATATACATATTCACGAATGTACATCCTAGTTGAGTGTGGTTTTGTTATGTACTGCTGCTGTTGAGTGAGTTATTAGAGTTTTCCCAGTCGCCAATTATGTTATGCACTCGTTGAGTAGTTAATAGTCCTGACGCGGAAAAAGGGAAATCAGAAGACCACGAGGTTTACGATGATACTTGTATTTTCCAGACAAGGAAAATAAATGTCACACAAGAGAGTGAGTGAAATGGTACGAAGTGTACGAAATGTGTGTGAACAAGAATGATAAAGCAAGAGTATATATGAAAATGGCTAATACACATGAACCAAAAAAAAAACGTCTTACCATGATTGGTTGTAATGTCATGTGATAACAAGGTCATACATTGTTTATTTAGTTAGTGGACAGACAAAAGCATAATGTCAGTTATAATGGAATATCGATCCATATACACATAGCAAAATATAACAGACTGTCAAAAACAAAACACACATCATGTGAGTACAATTCAGGTTTCATCTGAAAGAAAATAACAAGAACAACAAAGTTCAGAGCAGAGTCTCTTTTCAGCGGCGCATTCATTCACTTAGCTGTTCAAACGCATTTATATGTAACTATTTTGCATGTGTGTGTGTGTGTATGTGAGTATACATTAGAATTGTCAAAAATAAAAATCAGTTGGGGTTATTCTTTACATGTCATCAAAATGTTTCGAAAATGTGTATGTTTTCCAAGTTGTCAGTTAGTAATTAACCTTCCAAATACTGACTTCAGTGGGATATCTAACAGGTTTATTTGGAAACTGTGTTTTGCATTATTCACACACTGATACAAATTAGACAACTGGTAGGTCTGGCTAGAGAGAACTGCCAAGAACAGAACAAAATGAAGATGTGCTGTTGAAGTCCTACTTTCCAACTAGGAACCCAAGGGAATAATAATCCCCTGGTACCATCAATGTACTAAGTTTATCTTTTAATAAATAAGACTACTAAAACCGAATCAGCGAAGACAGGACTCCACGTAAACATAGACAAGACGGAGGTTATGAAAATAACCAACCAACAACAGCAACAACATCCAACGTCAATCACCATCAACGGGAGGGATTTGAAAGAGGTTAGTTCATTCACTCACTCACTTATCAAGGGATCATTGTCTCAACTACAGGCAGTCGGAACGGACGAGGATGTCAAATCGAGCGAGAATCGGGAAAGCGAGATAGAAACACACTCATCAACCTGAAACCAATCTGGAAATCTTCGTCACTCAGCCAGCCAGCATCAACAACAAAATTCGGTCGGATTTTCAATACGTCAAAAAGGTCAAGTCAGTTCTTCTATACGGATCAGAAACTTGACAGGCGGGTCACAAAGAATATTTCCAACAAACACGCTATTGCAGACCTTTATCAACAACTAACTGTCTTCGCTGGATCTATACTGAAGATCAGATGACCGGGTTGGAAAGAATCACCAACAAGAAACTATGGGAACAGACAAAACAAGAACCAATCATCAACCAACAAATATGCAGGAGAAAGTGGAGATGACACATTGGACACTCGCGGCTGAGGAGGCCGCTGGGTGACATCGCGAGAGCGTCAGACCATTGCTCGAGTGGAACCAGACCGAAAGGGAAGCGATGAGTGGGTCGGTCGTCAGTGCAAGGATGACATGGAGGAGATCGTGTGAAGAGGAGTTGAAAGAATATGGATTAACATGGATGCAGGTGAAAAGTACAGCAGAAGACAGAAGCAAGTGGAGACGTGCAGGTGAAGCCGTATGTTCCACTAGGAACCCAAGGGAACATTAATAATAATAATAAAACCGCGTCGAAAGCAAAATCAAGACATACAACAAAGAGAGCAGAACGATGGAAACAAACTACCGGTAGCAATAACCTACTACACTACCACTACTAATTTACACTGGAGATAATGATTTATAGAGACATTTACATATCGATTTTATGCAAAACAAAAAAGAAGAAATAGAAATACCCTGAGAAAAATAGCGATTTAAACACACGGAAAGCAAGGAAACAAACAAACAAACAAACAAGCAAAACCAGTGAACTAAAAAAGAGTTAGAGATAATAAAAGATTACATGAAATCGATATTCTGTTTTAATCAATGATAAATTTATTGAACGCAATCCATTTATATAATAGATATCCTGGTAAGTAGTTAGATAGTTCTTGCAGATAAGCTCCTTGTTACGTGTATTGTATGAATATGCCTGTTATTAAGTTATATATATGACTGACTGACTGGTTTCAGCGTAGATCTGCTTTGCACAGATGTGCAACAGTTCAAGATGCCACTTTCCCTTCATGTAGCACATAAAGCAAGTGAAGAGAATAGAGAGATTCAACAGAGAGCGATAATAAACAAAAGTGTTAGAGGAAAACAGTAGTCATATGGAAGAACAATAGAATTTTATTGGATATTATAAATCACAAGGAGTGGATACATCTGAACCAGCTATTGACAACGAGGATTTTAAGCCAGCCATATCACCAAATATCCTCACTCAGCCTTCATTAGTTCTTATCATCCCAAGAACGCCAACCAAGAAGCCAGCCAGTTTACACCTTCTACGTGGCTGGTTTAAACTAAGTGTTCTGAATTTCATGGACTGATGAAGTCATGTTTTGGTTTTGCCACCACCACCTCTTTTTCAACCTGATCTCTCTGTCTGTCTGTTTTCGACATAGAACTATGCACAAATGTGCGGAAGTTCAAGTCACCACATTCCGTGTAGCACGCGAAGCAAGAGAAGAAAGTACAAGAAAAGCATAATAGAAACAGTAAACAGAGGTGTGAGACAAAGGAGTAATAAAGAAATACAAAACAGTTTCATTGAAGATCATAAGTCACAGGGAGTGGATGCATCTGCGCCACTGAGAACGGTTTTGAGCCATGTCACCAATTGTTTCCAACCATAGATTTTTACCGTCCCGAGGACCCCAGCCTGGAAGTCTACACCTTTCTACGTGGCTTAGACCAACTGTTGTGGATTTCATTGACTGGTGCAGCCAAGTTTTTGTTTGACCGCCGCTAGCTTTTTTCCAGCCTGACCCTATATCCGCTAACATAGCTCGTCGAGGGAGGCGATGACTTGGCATACGTAACACATGCCCTAACCATCTCAGTCTTTGTAGCTTCACGACTTCGTCGATTGATTTCCCCTGTTTACCTAGAACTCTACGCCTAACCTCAATGTTGCTCACCTTATTATGCCACTTTACACGGGAAATAGAACGCAGGCACCTATGATCAAAGACAGCTAGTTTTTCATGTCTTCCACTCTCAGTGGCCAGGTCTCACAACCTGATCAATCCTATGTCACGTAACATTTCCCGTTGAGGAAGGCGATGGATGACTAGGCATGCGTAACACATGTCCTAAACATCTCAGTCGACACAATTTCACAATTTTGTCGGTTGATTTCCTTACTTTACCTCGTTAACTAACACTCGACCGATGCCTAACCACCTCAATATTACTCACCCTATTAGACCTACCACCACCTAACACAGGAGATAGAATGCAGACACCTATGATGGGAAGAGAGGGCGGCGGTTAATCACCGAATATTTGTTCAATCAAATCAATACCAAACACGTGCAATTGAAATGACACAACATCTATCTCAAAATAATATGGAAAATTGCAATACAACAAAAAAAACAAGAGGGAGAGAAAGAAAAGTGTATAAATCAAATTAGAAAGTTGTGCGAATACACTGATATATGGTTAGGAACAATAAATTGCACCTGAAACGTGATTCAGTTATTAAAACTATATCAAAGTGTCTTGTATCGAATGCTGAACATGTAGTTCAGCAAAGAGTCTCTTTTCAGCGGCGAATTCATTTTCTTAGCTGTACAATCGCAAATATATATATATATATATATATATATATATATATATATATATATATATATGGGTTATTTTGTATGTATGTGTGCATTAAGTTTATCAAACAAAAATACAATTGTAGGTTTCCAGACCGTAGGTGTTACGAACTTACCGGAATAATTTGAGCACCGAGTCAGATTGATTCATTATAAATTATTTAAATTAGATAAATCTGCTGAAGAAGCTGTGGCTTACACGGAGAAAGGCTCAGAAAAATCTTGTTTTGATTTTCTTAACACGATGGGATTAATTTAAATAATTTATAATAAAAAATACAATTGGTTATGGTTATTTTTTTAACTAAACGGGTGAAGATTGGTCATTGGAGTTACATAATACAAAATCAGGCAAGAAAATAAGGTGTCAATGAAATTAGGGTAGTAACAAAGGTGATGAGTTGTCACAAACAGTTGTTGAAAAGGAGTTACGTAATAAAATGAATAGTTTGGTGATTAAACTGTACTCAGGATTTACAGGATACGCACGTCCTGTTCAAGAGGATTCAAGAACACTGTCCAGCCAGAATGGTTGCGAAAAGGCAATAGTGGTGCAATAAGGAGTGCGATAATTGAACGACACCTGGTTAACACTGATCATTCCATCTAAACAACAAACGCCTCCTGCTTCAAAGTAATCTACAGAATCAAGAATAACCTATCAAAGGCAATACGGTTTCGTCTTCTTTCTATCGCTGAAGCTTTGGCTATTCACATAGAAAAACCGGAGCTGTGCATACCAAGGATAATTATTCAACCACTTCTATTGTTACGATAACAACTTTGTTGATATTTGATGACTTAATTTTGTTTATTTGCCTATTTCTTTAATTGCTTATAATTCTTGTATTCATTTAGAACCCTAACGTAATTTCCTTTTCTCTACTTTGCTCCTATGTGTATCCTGAGTAAAACTCACTCATAAAACTATTCATATTATTACATAACTTCTTTTTTAACAACTCTTTATGACAACTCATCACCTTTGTTACTGCCCTAATTTCATTAACACCTAATTTTCTTCACAGATTTTGAATTACGTAACTCCAATGACCAATCTTCACCCGTTTAGTTAAAAAATAACCATAACCAATTGTAATTTTGTTTGACAAACTTAATGTACACATACATGCAAAATAACCCTTATATATTTGCGACTGTACAGCTAAGAAAATGAATTCGCCGCTGAAAAGAGACTCTTCGCTGAACTACGTGTTATCTGTTTTCATTATTGCCTGGATGGGGATTATCCATAAATTATATCGAATAAATGTCCCCATAAAAGACTTGGTAAAGTCGAGGGTCGGTAGACTTCAGCCTTCCCCACGAAACGCCCTCATGTGACCATATGCGTTCATAGCCACTGCCAGATAAGCCCTATTCACTGGTTTCCCATGGTGGGAGACGCTTTCACAAAACTGAGAGGATGAGTGCAAAATGGTGGACATTAAGGTCTACCAAGGGAAACCAGAAAACCCTGATTTCAAAACTACGGTGTTCATGAGTCTATAAAACTGTTCTGATCACCGGAAACCATGGCAATGCAACTCCTCATGCTTCCTCCCATACCATGTGGATCAGACTTCAAGTAAAAGACTTGGGGTTGACCTCTTAAGACAGCAACCTACTTCGGTCTAGGCGTCCAGATAGCATCCCAACCGTCACACAAACTATGGTATTTGTGTAGCGAATCTCTTGGTACCTATAATGTACCAATTACCGAATAAATGCTTCTAATGTAGAATTATATTCTACCTCTTAGACCTCGTCTAACCGGTAGTAAGCCTGAAAAAGACAGAAAGACACCACCTGGAACGCGAAGGAACCATCTTCAACCTGCTGTGCCATACTGCTGAAGAGTCGCAAACTAGGACGAAACAGCTGTTCAGTACTCCCAGGTTTTCCAGTGGTTTTCCAACTGATGTCAATTCATGATAAAATCCTCCATGCAATCAAAGAAAATCCCTACAAAACCAATACTTGAAAATTAATCTGATGCTCACCAGAGACTGGCCCTATTCAGGCAGTTAACCTGGGTTTCTAGCGGGAAGTCGTGACCAGTAGGGTACAGCAGGTTTTTTTTACTTCGGCTATCTCCTACGGGAGGATGAGCCGGCTTCATGAAACATGAAGTTTCATGGAATTGGGTACGAGTGATGGTCCCCAGCATTGCTCGGCCTTTGTTTGAGAGTGCAGCTCTAGCCTTTACACAACCAAGTGTGACCTACAAGGCAGTAGGAGTGGAGTAGGGAGTCCACTATCCATTGGAGGCCAGCCGGTGACCGGAGTCCGGTTCATTCGCCTTTTTGAATGGGGCCAGACATCCAGGGCGCATCCAATAAGCCCTTTGTCCATACGTCTCCCGGTGAGCTCCGGTGAGCTTCATACGCCAGTCGTTGGAGGTTTGGAATCAGGGTTTAGCCATCTCCCTAGACTGTCATCCAATGGACAGTCAATCCGGTGAAGAGCGCCGGGCATCCGCTTTTGCCCTCTCACTTCGGTGAAAAACACCTCCGCCACGTGAAGGCAGTGAGTAGGACTTCCTCAGGAGAGGCTATGTAAGACGCCCGGTCATATGGGAGCATTTCAAGAGGTGTACGGAGGGGTGGCCAACCCGCAGCGCAGGTGAAGATGACGCAGTAACTCATCGAAGAAGACATTGCGAAATGGTCGCGCTATGTCGTGAATTGGCAGAAGTTAGAATTCAAGGACCATTGGATCGGGTCCCAGTGGCTCAATGGTCTATGAGTTCTCCTTGTAACTAGAAGGTCCTGGGTTGGAACCCTGCTGGTGGGTGCTTACTGCTGAAGAGTTCCAGACTAGGATGAAATAGCTGTCAAGTACATTAATAATTCACACAACATCATAAATGCTATACAATAGAGGCGACAAAAAAATATACAAATAGTGTTTTAAAGACCTTTACTTTACTTACCTGTAAAATTGCTTCTGGACTGCTGGCATTTAAACTCAACTGACAATTAGGCATTAAATTCGACTGCCAGGGAGGAATTCTGACAATAGACTCTTCAGACTGTTTCCCGTCTGGATTAGATGATATTGCCTGAGAGAATTCAAATCCACCAAGTTTCCATATTCCAAATCGATTAATCACAATCGATTCAGGTGTTAAATTCAAATGGAGACGATGACAATCGCAGTGGAGAAAGTTTAAAGCTTCAGCGAGCTAAATAGAAAGACAATAAAAAGACGAAAAAGTGGGGGGGGTGGTGTGAGAGGGAGTCAGAGTCAACTTTGTAAAACGTTTTACAATACAGTTACGGCGTACATATGTAATATACAAAGTAGGGATATAACTACTCGTTGGTTACAGTAGTCAAAGTTTCAGTCAATGGATTCTGGGGACAGAATTCCACTCTAATACCATTGTAACGACAGAAGACAAGAGCCAGTCAACAGATCGTTTACTTGAGAAATCAACACATATTTATAAATTTTCATGTACATTATTATAGATTATTGTTAGCAGAAAAACACAGTCTTCTGATTGGTTGTTTCTCACAGAAACTTAACCTGGCATCTCTTTGTGGCTGTTTCTTGAATGTCAGATCATCTATATGCCAACTGTATCCGCCTACGCAAAGTCTTTGTTCCTATTTTTCTCACGACCAATATTTGGGACATAAACCTTGACGTAAATTAATGCCTACCAATTCCAGCTAGCAGCCAGCTCTCACCACACTCGACCCCCACAACAAAGACTTCCGACTGAAGTTGGTTCGATTTTCTTCGTCCTAAGGGCTTTGTTCGTTTGTCTTGCTTTCTGGAATCTCGCCGCTCACTGATGTTCACCTGTTTCTCTTTGTCCGCCATTGCGATTCTGTCTGCGTAACCCCATCTCAAAGTGACCATATGTGGTCTTTCCCACTTTGGAAACTGTTTGCCTGACCCTGTCGCACATTCGTCAGTATTTCGCCTCACACTTCCATATGCTGCTTTCTCCCGACCTCCCGGCAGCGTCCCAAGTAACCGCCTCCTAGCTGACAGATCTTGAACACCATTCAACTGCGCAGAAGCCTCAAAGTCCTGCCCGATGATCCATATGTCTCCATCAAAAACTGCAGGGCATAGGCTTTCCATTTGTCGGTAGGCAGTGACACCAAATGTATCAACAGAAGACAAGAGCTAGTCAACGGATCGTTTAGTTAAGAAATCAACACATATTTATAGATTTTCATACACATTATCGTAAATTATTGTTAGCAGAAAAACACAGTCTTCTGATTGGTTGTTTCTCACAGAAACTCAACCTTACATCGTTTTGTGAATGTTTCTTGAATATCAGATCATCTATATGCCAACTGTATCCGCCTACGCAAAGTCTTTGTTCCTATTTTTCTCACGACCAATATTTGGGGCATAAACGTTGACGTAAATGAATGTCTACCAATTTCAGCTAGCAGCCAGCTCTTACCACACCATTAGCCTGAACAACTGGGGAATACACTACTAACCATCATACAATATGTAGCGTATACTCTGATGGGCTGACTGAGTGTCGACAGAGAACTTTGCGCACAATGGCATCAGTTCAAGTCCCCTCACTCCACATAGAACACAAACGTGAAGAAAAAAAAAGAAACTCAAAAGGACTATAATGAGTAGAACTGCACTGGACAAAGAATAGTAACATGGAAAGAACATAAGAATTTAGTGGATCTAGGACAGATCTCTAAGAGAGAATGCATCTGCACCAGTGATAACGATTTTAAACACTATCACCAATTGTATCCAGTCGTTAGTTCTTTGCATCCTGAAGATTTCAACCGTGCAGTCTACACCTCCCTACCTGGCTCCAACCCACTTTCAAATACCATTATGGGTAAATTTTGTTTTGATAAAGTCTCACAGTGTCATACAGTAATGTTTACTGATGACCACGTTTCGAGCACAATTTATTACTGCTCATAATCATATCAAAGTAATCACAGGACTTCCTAAATTCATTTATATAGTTCCATTATTTTCCATCACTTGATTTGATTGGTAGTAGTATTTTCCATATTTCGGGTATGAGTGATGAACGACCCAGTTGACCCAATTGAACAAAATAATATAATTTACAAAACACCTTGCAATGACTATGAGTGAGGTCAACTACATAGGTCAAACTAGTACGTCGAGGGTAGTCAGATTGTCAGAACATAAGAATTTAGCTAAGGTAAGAATGGTTGACCCCGAGAAGATAAGTAATTTAGAAAAAAAAGCTCAGTACTACATTGCACTGCATGCATTAACGCACATCCACACAATAGGGTGGGAGAGGGTTAAAATTCTAAAAAGTAATCTAGATAGGTGGAGAGAGAGGTTGATTACTGAATCCTTGTTCATCGAGTCTACACCCAACACATGCAATAGGAATGACTCGTCACTCATACCTGAAATATGGAAAATACTATTACCAATCAAATCAAGAGAAAAACAATGGAACTATATAAATGAATTTAGGAAGTCGTGTGATTACCTTGATATGATTATGAGCAATAAATTGTGCTCGAAACGTCATCAGTAAACATTACTGTATATCACTGTGAGACTTCATCAAAACAAAATTTACCCAGAATGGAATTACACTCTACCACAGTGCACTAGTTTTATTCTTATACCACTTTTGAAATACTTTACAGATTGATTTCATATGGTTTTATTCGACCAATAACTCATTCTTTTCCAGTCTAAACTTATGTCGGCTAACGTTCCCTGTCAAGGAAGGCGATGGCCTGGCATCTGCAACGCATAGTACTGGCTATTTTGATCGATGTAACTTCAAAACTGCATCCACTTACCTGCCGTCTTTGCGTAAGGCATACACTTCAACGTCAATATTACTACTCACCCTATTATGCCACCTAACACGGATGATAGAAAGCAAACATCTATGATCAAAGACAGATATCCTTTTCATATAACTTTTACTTTCAAAGGCCACATGTCACAGCTACAAAGGAGGACAGAGGGAAAGTACTGCATAGTATACGCGTCCTGTGATGGATGCCTGGAGATCACGTCTACACCAGAGATGCTGCATGTTGGCGAATGTCACACAAGCCTAGTATATGAAAAATCTATTCCGTTTAACTGGGTTTCAACTTAGTACACACTACAGGAAAAGAATTGAGAGAAATCAGAGGATCTCGAAAAATACCCATTTATTCATAAGTAAAAACACAGTTTTTTTGTTCAGCGAAGAAATTTCTTTTCAACGACTTCATTTTCAAGCTGTACAGTCGTATTTATATTACAGAAAAAGGTTATTAAGTGGCACTAAATAATTGCTCAGTCAATGTACGTATATGTGATAAAAGTTATAAGGGGTAGAGTTGAAGTGGATAAATTATAAAACAATCTTTAACATTTTTGTAATTTATCCACTTCAACTCTACCCCTTATAACTTTTATCACATATACGTACATTGACTGAGCAATTATTTAGTGCCACTTAATAACCTTTTTCTGTAATATAAATACGACTGTACAGCTTGAAAATGAAGTCGTTGAAAAGAAATTTCTTCGCTGAACAAAAAAACTGTGTTTTTACTTAGAAATCAGAGGAATTAGGTAAAATTCTTAAAAATATGAGATATATATCAGCTCATCTATTATCATGTGTGCTGTTTATTCAATCGATCAGATCTTGTTTGAATTAACGAGAAATAGGTGAGAACAGACCAGTAGACTAGTTACTCTTGTGGTGGTGTGATACAGATAATGTGTCTAACGGAATATTATTCCACATATTCCCACAGTTCAATACTGCGCCAGCAACAGAATACTATATATATATATATATAGCGGTTTGAGCACTTGAAAAATACCTTTGCTTTAATGTCTTACCTTCCGTTGTTACAACTGTACCAAACATGGAAGCAGTTTGCAACGCATCCTACCATTATGCTCGTTTCGCATTTGCCAGTTTACGCCGTCTCTGGCCAAGTAGACGAGATATTCGACTATCGACCAAAGGGCGGGTGTACTGCTCATTAGTCCACTCCGTCCTCCTTCATAGCTGGCTGTGAGACCTGGCCACTGAGAGTGGAAGACATGAAAAGGCCGGGTAGCTGTCTTTGATCATAGGTGTCTGCGTTCCATCTCCCGTGTGAAGTGGCATAATACGGTGAGCATTATTGAGGTTAGGCCTCGGTTGAGTGCTAGGTAGGTGTGAGGGGAAATCAATCGATGAAGTTGTGAAGTTACAAAGACTGAGATGGTTAAGACATGTGTTACGGATGCATCCTAGTCATCGCCTTACTCGACGAGAAATGTTAGCGGATATAGGGTCAGGCTGGAAAAGAGCTAGCGGAGGTCAAACAAAAGCATGGCCTCATCAGTCAATGAAATCCATAACAGTTAGTCTAAGCCTCGTAGGAAGGTGTATACCGCCTGACTAACTGGTTGGGGTCCTCGGGACGGTAAAAACCAATGAATGTTGGAAACAATTGGTGACATGGCTCAAAATCGTTCTCAATGGCCGGCGCAGATGCATCCACTCCTTGTGACTTATGATTTCCAATTAAACTATGTTGTTCTTCGTTACTACTATTCCTTTGTCTCACACCTCTGTCTACTGTCTCTATTATGCATTTCTTGTACTTTCTTCTCTTGCTTTGTGTATTACATGGAGTGGAGTGTGGCGACTTGAGCTGGTGCACATATGTGCAAAGTTCTATGTCAAAAACAGACAGACAGACAGACCATTTTATGCTAAAACTTCAAATAAGGAATTTGCAGCATTACTTTTATTGAGTTAAAATGTCTTGTTTATATCTTATTAGGCAAATATGGATAAGAAGTTATAACCCGTGAGGGAATTGAATCTTAGGCGGGAATGCATAAAATAATAATAATAATAATATGAAATGCAATTAAAACTAAAATGTTTGTGGTTATAATCGTAGTTAAAGGTCAAGTGGCAAAGCAAATTAAAAAATGCGATCATTGAGCATCTGGTCGATAATGATCACCCAATGACCTCTACAGCCTCCGCCTTTAAAGTCATCGACAAGGCGAAAAGTAATTTACCCAAATCCCTATGCACCCGACTCATCTGCTGTATTGCTGAAGCCATCTTTGGCTATCGAAACAGAAAAGCCAGATCTCTGTGTACAGAAAAAGTTCGTTCAACCCCTCCAACTTTCATAGTCTTAATCCCTCCAGTTAAGTATGGTAATCACCAATCATATTTTAGCTATACCAATTTTTCATTTTGTCTATTGAATTTGTATACTCTTCCTTTATTTAGTCAATTGTTACTATTACTATTCTCATTTTGAATTGTCACCGGTATTGTTTCACTTGTTCCACTTGTCATTCTAAATCAATTCTTTTTTAGAACGATAAATTCTATGCTATTAAATTTCACACAATATTATGTAACGTTTTCTGTTTTATTCGATTTGTCTACTAATCCTATAATTGCACATCCTTTTTCAAGTTCTATCCATCCTATGAGTTATTCTATATATGACATTAACTTGCTTTGCCACTTGACATTTAACTATGAGTATAATCACAAATATGGATAAGTTTATGTTGACATGTCATCTAGTGGAGAAGGCTTTGGTGTTTAGTATGATAACTGTCGGTTTTAGAGGGAAACACTATCACTAATTGAGATGCAAATACATTCAGATGACGAGTCCTGAAATACGGCGACAAAACACGCATTCTGCATTCCACAAATTTACACCATAAGTTACGGTACTCTTGCTTTACCAAATAAAGGATTTATATAGTTGACTCATCAGCGCTGTATCCGAAGTGAGTGATGATGTTCCCGCTGGCACTCGAACCCAGCATCTATCGTTTTTAAACGCCAAAGTGCTATCTTAATAGTGACAACACTAGCATTTGGAGAAGATGGAGGTAAATCCAGGTGAAGAGTCTCAAATACGACGAAATGTGCATTCTTGATTCCACACCACTACCAAACAGTATCAAATTCACAATATCAGTGACAGTACTTTTGACTTACAAAAAAATAAAGAACCTAGATAATTGACTTATTAACTGAAGTAGTCGTGTCCGTATGAAGGCCTTGTGGCCGGCTATTGTCTGCCATAGGGTAAGTCAAGACATACAATTTTCGAGATCAACCTATTTTAACCTCACCTCCTCATTCCCTAGAGAGGACAGGCGGCATAGGTGCTCATCTGATGCAAACATCTTACTACCAATACAACCCTATAAAGCAAACAGTTCAAACCCAGGATACCTTCCGGTTACAATTCGAGCTCGTAGACCATTAATGATCCGATCCAGTGGCCGATGAATTCCAACTATTTCATCATGAGCTGACATTAGTTATGGAACCACTGGAAAACCAACTGGGAGTACTACACAGCCGATCCGTCCTAGTTTGGGACTCTTCAGCAGTACGCACTCACCGGGATTCGAACCCATGACCTTCTGGTTACAAGGTGAGATAGCTCGTAAACCATTAAACCACTGGGGCCCGATCCAATGGCCCATGAATTCTAGCTTCTGCCAATTCACAACATAGCGCGACCCCTAGCCAATGTCTTTGGCGAGTATTTGTCCTCACACCAGGCCTGCTGCACCCTAGTGGTCACGACTTCTCACTAGAACCCCCGGTAACTACCTACCTGAATAGGGCAAGTCGCTAGTGAGCATCTCATTGATATTCAAGTGTTGGTTTGTAGGGATTTGATTGATTGGTTACAGGATTTCATCATGAGCTGACATTAGTTAGAGAACCATTGGAAAACCAGCCAGCATGGAGTACTGGACAGCTGTCTCGTCCTAGTTTTGGACTCTTCATCAGTACGCACCCACTGCCCCAGTTCGAACCCAGGACCTTCTGGTTACAACAAGGCGAGCTTGTGTAATCAATCAAATCTCTACAAACCAACACTTGAATTCCAACTATGTTAAGAATTAGCAGAAGTTGGAATTCATGGACCGTTGGATAGGATCCAATTGGCTAAATGATCTATAAGCTCGTCTTGTAACTAACTGGAAGGTCCTGGGTTCGAACCCCCAGATAATCATCGTAGTGTAAACTGCTTACACTATGATGTTAACTGCTTTGACTCTAACCCCTATCCCCACCCCCCCCCCAAGTGATCTTTCTGAAATCGTAAGGCCTGCAGAAACATTCACCCCAGCCAGTATAACTCATCGGATCATTGAAGTATGGCATCTTGACAGATCTTCGGGGGGAAAAAAGGATAATTTTGAAGAAAAATAAAAAATAAATGAAGCTTACTTGCACTAAGCCATATTTAATTTCAATATCTGATAAAGAGAATTCCATCGATTCATTCGCTTGTCCATTGTGGATAAATTCTTTTGACAGGACACTATTCAATGAAGTAAACAATGGTTCTGATGCATAAGCTAAACTTTCACGTGATTCTTCCAATGGTTGAAGTACAGACAGTATTTTTGGATGCTTAATTCGTGTTAGAGTGGATACACCATGTTTAAGTATTTCAATCATAGAATCACGTTGTGTTTTGGGATAAGATTCTAATAATTTCTTTTCCATAATCCATATGGTAGCTTCCTATAATAATAAGAAATAATAATAATAATTTACTTTATTCCAAAACAGACAGTACTTGTAATACAGAATGGAATTCTCAGCATTTGTCACAATAATTGCATCTGATTTACTCAAAATATGAATAAAATTAAAAATTAAAACAAAAGTAACCAGAGGAATTTGTCCACATTTACGATATAAAGTCAAAAATATCTAAAGCACGAATTGAGATTATTAAATATAATAATAATCATAATAACAGTGAGTTTGTTTCAAACAGTACTGTCAATTCAGTTTGGAAATTTTAGCATGTTATTGTAGAGTATTGAATCTAATGTTCTGTTGATATAGCAGTATGGTGAGGGGAAATACAAGATTAACAGTCATTCACGCAGCTAAAATTATGTTCACACTTATGAAAAATAAATAAAAAACAAAAAATTGAGAGGATTGTAAAGTTTGATGGTGTAAGGGTGGAGGAAATGGTTTATATAGTAGTGCAAAGAAGGTTAGTTAGTTAGTTCATGCCTGACACTATTTTCATCACATAAAGTACGTGCCGCTAAATATGGTATACTAGAATTTTTATACTTAGACGTACATGCATAAAGTCTTCTGAAAAGACTTCTTGTTTTACCTAAGGAGACACAAGGTTCGAGCTGCGGGTAGAGTGGGTGCTCAGAGTCTGACAAAATTCCTTTACCAAATTTGTTGCATAACATCAAGTACCTATCAGTGATGATGTCAACTATATGGCCCAATAGGATAACACTCGTCCTAAACACACACACACACACCCTTCAGATTTCTACGAAGTATGACAGTCTTTTTTAAGCAATCCAGGAAATAATAGGCAAGAGTGAACAGTAAAGAAGGATAGGTAAGATGCACGAGTTGGCAAACTGTAAGAGGAGGGGTTGGTTGGTTTATGCCTGAGTGCCTTAACTTCTTGATGTAGCAAGTCAGACGAAATATTCTTTAAGAAATCGCTAAGACATGGGAAGATGAGGATAGGTAGGTCAGTAGAAAGAATTAATCCAAGATACTTAACGTCAGACTTGATTTCTATATCCTCACTATCATCAATTTTGCAAGAGTCATAGGAACCAACAGCGCTTCATTTAACTTTCGTTTGTATCGGAAACTGAAATTAATAGTCTGACATTTGGAAGGATTTAGTTTAAGGCCGTTACACGAAGACTATTTGCTAATTCCTGATAGAAAGCTGTTCATCTTAGCATAGTCAAACTGGGAGTTAACAGTCCCTGAAATAGTTAGATCGTCCGAATACTTAACAAATTTCATTTATCAGAGTAGCATAAAAAGAATTCAACTACAGAAAACTATGCTTGGAATCAGTCTGTTGCTCAACAGTTGACTGGCTACAGAATCAAATTGCCTGAATTTCTGGTGGTAGGTCATGACTAGCGAAGTCCACCGACTCGGGTCGATGATATTAGCTGATCGTGGCGCTATAAATCGTGAGTTAACATATGCTGGAATTGACAAACGGTTGGATTCCGTCCTATTCCGTGAATGGCCAATGTAAATGCCTTAAGCTCCTGGGTTCGATCCCTGCCAGGGCCGAATGAAAATGATGCTCAGGAAGGCTTCGTGTGCTTTTGGAAGTGTGTGGGTGGTTGTTACTTCCCGGCTGCCCACATCTTGGAAGTTGATTGATTCTTCGAGTACCTGAAACAGAAAGAAGGTTAGTGTTGCGGGACCGCAGAGCCAAGGGGACAACTGCTTGAGGCCGACTACACACGGCCTGTATGAATTGGTTCTGTATTAGTAAACTTACCACTGGTTATGGACCACCGTGGGGTAAGTCGGGATGTACAATTTTTGGGGTCGACCCTTTCTAACCGCCTCTGTCCAGAGTGGAGGGACAACATAGCTGGCTGGCATGCTGGTCATCTGAGGGAAACACCTCACTGCTGTTACATCCCTATTCCGCAGCAGTACGACTTCGCCCACAGACCCCCAACATAGAGATTATAAGTTGATAGGAAATAATGACAACAATATAAGGACAGGGAAAACAACCTGGTGAATTCATGCTCAACACATTTTACTTCACATAAAAAATGCATATCGAATAAAGTATTCTTGAGTTTTTACGTTAAGTTGTACGAACGTAAAGTCTTTTATCATAATTATTTCACGTCCCACCTGATACTTATCATAATACCGCCATAATCACATTACAAGAAACGTGGTTGCATGAACTGTATGATGACAACCTTATCTCACTAAAGGACTTTATTTTATTTCGTCAAGACCGTCAATGTTGTAATAAGAAAAATGGTGGTGGCGTTGCAACTTTTATTCACTCCAAATGGTCTGTCTCAAATAACGTCTGCTTCACCTTCTCAAATGACTTCATTGACTGTATTACTGTCAAATGTCGCCCCAAACATCTCCCCAAATATAAACGAATCTATATTACAAACATGTACATTTCTCCTAGTTGCTCTCCATCTGATCTATCTAATTTTGCTGATGAATTCACCATGTTTGCTGCTGCCAACTTCGACAACTCTCTATCCGTTATTACTGGAGACTTCAACACATCAGATTGCTCCTTTCTTGAAGCTCTTGGTCACACAAACATAGTCAAATTTCCCACTCGACTTGACAAAACACTCGACTTAGTTTTTACTAATGACGGAGTATATGAAACACGTAGACGTTCACCGATACTTAACTCCGATCACTGCATTGTCCGCGTTTTGCCAAAAATATACAGCAAAACACATATTAAAATCTTCTCACACCTGTCTACGAAAGCACAACAAAGAAGCTACACATCTGACAACCTACTCAATCTAAGATGCATGTTAAAAGATACCAACTGGGATCTATTCTATGAAAGTACATTAGATGACTCAATCACCAATATAATGGATTATCTTAAGTTCTGCCTCGACATATGCTGTCCCAAACAAACACTGTTCAAACGCCTCGACCGCTTCTCGTCTCCCCATCTCAAACAACTTCGCAGGCAAAAAGAAATGTTATATAAATGCAAAGACAAGTTAGGACTTAAAAAGATTAATGCTCAAATCAAATCTGAAATCAAAAATCTTAATGCTATCTATAACCAAACACTTTTATCATGCAAATCTCCTAACAGCATGTGGAAATTTTTCAATGAAATTACTGGCAATAGTAAGCGATGTAATGTTTTTCCCTCTTGTGATGTTAATGCTCTTAATCTGTCTTTTATACGCTCTCCTTCTACTATAACCACTTCTAACGTTACTAATCTTGTAGCTGATAACTTCCAGGACTTTAATACTCTCGATGTTTTGAAATGTCTTAAAACTCTTAAGCCCTCACATAGTCTTGGCCCTGATGGCATACCTGCATATGTTCTAAAACAATGTGCAGATGCTTTATGTTCTCCTCTAACTAATATCCTAAATGCTTCTTTCTCCGAAAACGTTGTACCTGTTCCATGGAAAGACATTAAAATAGTCCCTGTCCCTAAACCTGGAAATAGCAAGAACGTAAAGTTCAGACCCATTGCCATCACTTCCCCGTTTCTAAAGCTCATGGAAAAACTAGTACTTCTTAAACTCGAACCCTCCCTTAAAAGCTTCGAAGACCCCAAACAATTTGCCTACAGACGCTGCAGCCGTCTTACACAACATATCTCATCATTAGACAAAGGTGCCAAATATGTCCGCTGCACGTTTCTTGACTTCACTTCTGCTTTCGACTCTGTACCTAGATGTCTCTTGCTAAATAAGCTCTCCATGACACAAACCGAGTCCTGGGTCACTAACTGGTTGCATTCCTACTTTTCAAACAGAATGCAGTACACCGTATACAAAGGCGAATCCTCCTCTGCTGTGCTCACTGAAGCTGGTGTCCCCCAAGGTGCTGTACTCTCCCCACTTCTCTTTTCATTCTTTCTACATGACCTACCATCTTCAAATGACATTAACTTTGTCAAATATGCTGATGACCTAACTGTATCTTTACCTGTCAAATGTCAAAGTGACTGCTCTAAACTAAATGGCTTCTTATCAGAAATCAGCCAATGGTCCAAGGAAAACGGTCTCACCTTAAACCCCTCCAAATGCCAAACAGTTAATTTCACCTTAGGCACAAATCTGACCTAAACAAACTGGTTAGCACTCACGAGGTGTGCAACATAGATGGCACTGAAATAGAAACCAAGTCGGAAATTAAATACCTAGGCGTCACTCTATCTTCTGATCTTTCCTGGTCGTCTCATATCTTGACGATTTCCAAGAAAATATTCCGTCTTACCTTCTACATCAAGAAGTTAAGACATTCTGGTGTAACCCAACCCTTACTCCTACAATTTGTTAACTCCCGTATTCTGCCTATTATTCTCTATTGTTCCCCCTTAGTCTTTCCTGGGCTATTGAAGAAAGACTATACCTTATTACGTAGGATGTTAAAGGTTGTCAGCAGGGTAAGCAGTTTGCCACTTAGCCAGCTTGTTAATATTCTGGTGGACAGGCACATGGACTCATGTGAAAAATGGGCGAAATCCATTTTATCTGACTCACAACACCCTCTACATTCACAACTCTCCCCATGTATCTCTTCAGGGAAAACCAGAAGCCTATATAGGAAACTATATGCCCGCACTAGTAAGTACAAAAACTCATCCATACCCTACTTAGCTCGTGTTCTGTGCGATAAAGAAAGCATTAGGCGTGAAACTTATAACTTATTAAATAGTCAGTAGAAAAATGGATCTCGTCTTTCCAACTCCACATATCATTTATAGGTACAACGTTTTCTCTCTTTTTTTTGTGTTGTTATGTGGTGCTTTGTTTCTTTCTTCTGCTTATGCCAGTAAATATGCTAGCATCAACTTTTCTAACACCTTCAAACACTCTGTTCAGTTTTTGGCTTTGCTACCGACATGCTAATATGTTGTTGTCAAAACTAACTGAGATTACCCTTAATCTATGTAGAATTTTATTTATTGTTAATGTACTAATTAGATGCAATACTTGCAGTAAAATGTTGAGAATTCCATTCTGTATCACAAGTACTGTTTTGGAATAAAGCAAATTATATATATATATATATATATATATATATATATATATATATATAAATGAATGTATGAGCATCACTCACTTGTTGAGTTGACCGCTTTTTAGCTGAATACAACTTCCATAGTAAACCAGGTCCAGCTTGACCAATTTGTTTTTCAATTTCATATTCTCGAGTTAATGGATTACCAGGTAGAGCACTTGAAACTTTCGTTTTTAATTTGTTGAACACAGCATCCATCTGTGTAAAAAAAAACAATAGGTAATAATAACAATAATAAGTAACAAAATGTTCACACTTGTTTCCTATTTTTTTGATTTGACATTAGTGACTAGTGTGTGGTGTGTCTACTTCCTCACATTGGTGCAGACTGAATTCCATCATCAGTCAGGTTGTATGTAATGTGGCCATCATCCTAAGTAGCTCGCCATCACCGTACACATAGATGATTTAATGATATTAGATGGTTGGGGGTAATCGGCCACAGGAAGCCTTGGACCTAGGTTTTGGCTAACTAACTGTATGCTGTGCCAGGCTACCTCAGGAGGAGGAGTCCTGCTGCCGACTCGACCTCAGATACTCGTTTCTCTATTTATTAACAGCGGTTACGAGCCATATCACCAATCGCGTATCCAGACATTGGTTCATAGAATCCCGAAGACGCGAACACCCCCACCCACCGCCTACGTACGTGGCTAGCTCACAGTAACTGTCAACGATTTCGTAGATGGATTCCAAGTTTTAGCTTGACTTATTTCACATGTTTATCTTAACAAAAAAGACGCGATTGTGCTACATTGTGTCTTTTTGATGTTGTTTTCTAAAAAAAAAATAAATAATTTCTATAATTATGTTTAAGAGATGAAAACAAGTGTGATATTAGATGGTTGGAGGCAATCGGCCACAGGAAGCTTTGTCTGACCAAGGTTTCGTGCTAGTTGTCACTATGAAAAGACTAGCTGTCTTTGATCATAGGTGCCTGCGTTCCATCTCCCGTGTGAAGTGGCATAATAAGGTGAGCAACATTAAGGTTAGGCGTTGAGTTCTAGGTAAACAGAGGAAATCAATCGACGAAGTTGTGAAGTTACAAAGACTGAGATGGTTAGGACATGTGTTACGTATGCTCAGCCTAGTCACCGCCTTCCTCGACGAGCAATGTTAGCGGATATGGGGTCAGGCTGGAAAAAAGCTAGCGGCGGTCAAACAAAAACTTGGCTTCACCAGTCAATGAAATCCACAACAGTTAGTCTAAGCCAGTCACGTAGGAAGGTGTAGACTGGCTTGCTGGATGGGGTCCTCGGGACGGTAAAAATCTATGGTTGGAAACAATTGGTGACATGGCTCAAAATCGTTCTCAGTGGCTAGCGCAGACGCATCCACTCCTTGTGACTTATGATTTCCAATTAAACTACGTTGTTCTTCGTTACCACTATTCCTTTGTCTCACACCTCTGCTCACTGTTTCTATTATGCTTTTCTTGTACTTTCTTCTCTTTCTTCGCGTGCTACACGGAGTGTGGCGACTTGAACTTCCGCACATTTGTGCAAAGTTCTATGTCGAAAACAGATAGACAGACAGACAGACAGTTGTCACTTGTCAGTTAGGCATATCTTCAACTTTGGAGGAACTTATGTCCCCTTTATGTAGCACAATCGCGTCTTTTTTGTTAAGATAAACATGTGAAATAAGTCAAGCTAAAACTTGGAATCCATCTACGAAATCGTTGACAGTTACTGTGAGCTAGCCACGTACGTAGGCGGTGGGTGGGGGTGTTCGCGTCTTCGGGATTCTATGAACAAATGTCTGGATACGCGATTGGTGATATGGCTCGTAACCGCTGTTAATAAATAGAGAAACGAGTATCTGAGGTCGAGTCGGCAGCAGGACTCCTCCTCCTGAGGTAGCCTGGCACAACATACAGTTAGTTAGCTGTAGACAGCTGTAAAAGCTTTTAATAACCTGAAAACTAAAGTAAGTAAGAGTCAGTGGGTTTCTACCACCTCAGAAGAACTGATTAACACAAGAAGACTGATTCCGGCGAGCTCCGGTTATGGTGAGGAGCGAAAGCTACCCAAACGGAAACTAACAAGAAGCCATCGTAACGACTGTGAACAGTGGTGGGGGACAAAAGCGAAACAGATGGAAAAGGCATCGGCGATTGGCAACACCAGACAACTATTTAGGCTTATCAGGGAAACAGGTAGGAAAAGGCAAATGATAAGTGAAACAATCTCTGAGAAAAATGGCACCATAATTAGCTCCCAGTATAGACGACTGGAAAGCTGGAAAGAACACTTTGAGGAACAATTCAATTGGCTTACAGCAACGCTCAACTTACCGAACATCCAACACCTACCTGCATGGGATATAGACACAGGTCCTCCGTCCCCTTGACTGAGGTTACTAAAGCTGTCCCTAATCTGAAACGAGGCAAAGCAGCAGGAACTGATGGAATGACTCCAGAGGTATTTAAGAAAGGTGGAGACAGTTTACTCTCTGCGTTAACTAAGGTATTAGAGGATGTCCCGTCGGTGTGAGTCATTGATTATCCCGATATACAAGAAGGGAGACTGTGATAATCACAGTGGAATTAGCTTGATTAATTTGGTATCTAAAGTTCTAGGCTTAATAATAATGTATAGACTAAGCGGTCCACGGGAGGAACAAACACGAGAGAACCAGGTAGGCTTTAGACTAGGAAGAGGATGTATTGATCATATCTTCACCCTTCAACAAATTCTGGAACATAGGTATAATTACCGTCAGCGTCCAACAACCGTTATATTTCTTGATCTAAAGGAGGCATTCGATTCCGTCAACCGAGAGGTACTATAGCGATGTTTGTCTGTGAAGGGAATGCCGAGAAAATACATCGCACTGATCAAGGCACTCTACTCGAACGCATGCAGCCAGATGAGAGACTACGGCGAGTTGTCATCTAGAGTGGTGACAACTAGTGGTGTCCGACAGGAATTCCCACTATCTACATTTCTATTCAACTTTATCATAGATGTACTAATGGAATTAAGCTTAACCCACTTCAACGTTTCAGGGATTAACTTGTTACCATCAGCGAATAATCTCGTTGACTTAGAACATGCAGATGATACAGTCTTCCCTTCTAGGCCAGGACGCTGACAAAATACATCAAAGTCTTTTGAACACCTTGAGCTGCAATCTTCGAATGTTTTGCATGCGATTCGCTCTAGCTATCATATGTAAGATGATGCTACAGGAATGGACTACATTGACTACTAGCTCAAAGATAGACAGGAGTGAAGTGGTTCTTGGGGCGTGTTGACCACTTATTCGGGTAGTTGCAGCAGCCAATCCAACGGGTCGATCGCTGACGAAATCTCAGAACGGATACAGAAAGCTAGTTTCGCATATACAAGTTTCCGCCGTCTCTGGCATAGACGAGATATCCGACTGAATGTCGACCAAAGGGCGGTTGTACTGATCAGCAGTCCGCTATGTACTCCCTTATGATTGGCTGTGAGACATGGCCATTGAGAGTGGAAGACATGAAAAGGTTAGCTGTCTTTGATCATAGGTATCTGCGTTCCTGATATCACAACAGTTGGTCTAAGCCAGTCACGTAGGAAGGTGTAGACTGGCTTGCTGGATGGGGTCCTCGGGACGGTAAAAACCAATGGTTGGAAACAATTGGTGACATGGCTCAAAATCGTTCTCAGTGGCTAGCGCAGACGCATCCACTCCTTGTGACTTATGATTTCCAATTAAACTACGTTGTTCTTCGTTACCACTATTCCTTTGTCTCACACCTCTGCTCACTGTTTCTATTATGCTTTTCTTGTACTTTCTTCTCTTGCTTCGCGTGCTACACGGAGTGTGGCGACTTGAACTTCCGCACATTTGTGCAAAGTTCTATATCGAAAACAGACAGACAGACAGTTCCTGATATGTATCCACATAATATGTGTGTTTGTTTTCACAGTCTGTTATATTTTGCTATGTATATATGGATCGATATTCCATTATAATTGACAGTATGTTTTTGTCTGTCCACTAACTAAACAAACATGTATGACCTTGTTATCACATGACATCCCAACCGATCATGTTAAGACTGTCTATTGATTCGTTCATTTTTGAACATTCGCTCATACACTTGTGGACATTGATTTTCCTTGTTTGAAAAATACAAGTATCATCGTGAGCCTGGTGGTTTTCTGATTTCCGCCTTCTTGCGTCAGGACTATTAATTACTCGACCAGTAGATAACAGTTCCATCTCCCGTGTGAAGTGGCATAATAAGGTGAGCAATATTGAGGTTGGGCTTCGGTCGAGTGATGGGTAAACAGGGGAAATCAATCGACGAAGTTGTGAAGTTACAAAGACTGAGATGGTTAGGACATGTGTTACGTATGCTCAGCCTAGTCACCGCCTTCCTCGACGAGCAATGTTGGCGGATATGGGGTCAGGCTGGAAAAAAGCTAGCGGCGGTCAAACAAAAACTTGGCTTCACCAGTCAATGAAATCTACAACAGTTAGTCTAAGCCAGTCACGTAGGAAGGTGTAGACTGGCTTGCTGGATGGGGTCCTCGGGACGGTAAAAATCTATGGTTGGAAACAATTGGTGACATGGCTCAAAATCGTTCTCAATGGCCGGTCCAGATGCATCCACTCCTTGTGACTTATGATTTCCTATGAAACTGTTTTGTTCTTCGTTATTACTCCTCCTTTGTCTCACACCTCTGCTCACTGTTTCTATTATGCTTTTCTTGTACTTTCTTCTCTTCGCGTGCTACACGGAGTGTGGCGACTTGAACTTCCGCACATTTGTGCAAAGTTCTATATCGAAAACAGACAGACAGACAGTTCCTGACATGTATCCACATAATATGTGTGTTTGTTTTCACAGTCTGTTATATTTTGCTATGTATATATGGATCGATATTCCATTATAATTGACAGTATGTTTTTGTCTGTCCACTAACTAAACAAACATGTATGACCTTGTTATCACATGACATCCCAACCGATCATGTTAAGACTGTCTATTGATTCGTTCATTTTTGAACATTCGCTCATACACTTGTGGACATTGATTTTCCTTGTTTGAAAAATACAAGTATCATCGTGAGCCTGGTGGTTTTCTGATTTCCGCCTTCTTGCGTCAGGACTATTAATTACTCGACCAGTAGATAACAGTTCCATCTCCCGTGTGAAGTGGCATAATAAGGTGAGCAATATTGAGGTTGGGCTTCGGTCGAGTG